CTTTCAATAATGAAATCTATAGACAGAAAGATGGGATTGCGATGGGATCACCACTGGGACCACTGCTAGCAGATTTTTTCATGTCAAAACTAGAAAATTCACAACTTCGTCAAACTACTGATAGCTTTGACTTTTATAGAAGATATATGGATGACACGTCTGTTATTTGCGACAAAAATGTTGACCTAGACGATGTTCTTCGTTCATTCGATGAATGTCATCAAGCCCTCAAGTTTACCGTAGAGAAAGAATCAGAATCAACTATTCCTTTTCTTGATGTGCTTCTCACCCGACGTCAGAATGGATACCTTGAAAGGTCCATCTACAGAAAACCAACGTGGAATGGACAACTAACTAATTTTTATAGTTGGGTGCCCATCAACAGAAAAAGAAATCTTATTCTTTCTCTTTGTTATCGAATAAGAAATATCTGTAGTGACGATTGTATCGATGAAGAGCTATTTTTTTTAAAAAGCACACTTGCCGAAAATGGTCACCCTAGCCGTTTTATTGATAAGAATATGCGGGAAAGAAACACTAAACCGGTCATCGACTCGGTCTCAAGGAAAAGATTGTTTATGAGCCCAGAGTTTAAAGGTGACTTAGCATCGCATGTACTGAAGAATCGTCTTTTTAGATCAATCAATAGAACTTTCTTCGCAGCAAGACTTCAGTTGACTTTTACCAGCAGCAACTTATTCTCCGCCTGTGTTAAAGATAAGCTTCCTCGTTTGGCCGCCTCTATGTGCATCTACCAGTTCACCTACTCTTGTGAAAAAGGTACATCGGCCGTAGCCAGAGAATGCTTTCTACACGTATACGAGAACATGTTCCTGCCTGGTTTTATAAGGGTGAAAGAAAGTCTTTTAGAAGTTCGACTCTAGAACATTTGATTGACTCCCATCACACAACAAATCCAGACAATTACTTTAAAATTATTTATCAAATTCGCCCAAACCTCTCACGTTCTCTTCGTTTTCAACTCCTTAAAACAGCGGGGGCTTTAGCTATTCATGAACCAAGACCTGATCTGTGTGTACAAAAGAAGTATGTGCAGTTACTGTCTTTATCATGGCCATAACATTTCCCCACCCCATTAGCTCCCCCTCCCACTTTGTTGATTTAACCTTTGTATCCTTCCTTCATCACTATTATTGTTACTATAATCGCCTTCACTTTAACTAGTTTCCGGTGTTGTTTCACCTAGTTGTCTTAGTCCTTTTAGAAAACATTGATTTCATCTTGTCCAACTTGTCTAATACCAACATAATACTTAATTGATTTAACATTTTCAACAATTTTTTCACCCCCTTCTGAGTTATGTACTCTCTGTGTACCATTCCATATATTTGTTATCATTCGCACTTCAATTATTATTGTAATCACAAATGCCTACGTCATCATCCGCTCTATTACTATTGTCATCATCAAATAGTGTTTAGTTTTCCTCAAGGGAAATAATTTTTTCAAATACCATATATATACGATTGTACAGCTTGAAAATAAATTCGTTGAAAAGAGTCTCTTCGCTGAATATCTTGTTCTTGATGTTACAATGGGAATTATTAAATTAATAAAAAGATATACGATAAGCTGGTAAGAGATGGGCTTATAAATTTAATGAAACACTACTCCTTTGACAACAATGTCGAACGGCAGATTTTAATGCTGGGTGAATAAACTACCACCACCAAAATTACCCCCAGAAGTTTATTTATTCATCAGTTCAAACAGGATACTAATGTCATATGAGATGCATATTTCACATTGTGTTTTATTACTGGTAATAATGGTACTATTCAAAAGTAATGACTGTTTCGCCTAAAGTACTGTAGAGAGGATGGATTTATTGAACTAATACATGCTCAAAATTATGTATAAACTTAAATATAATTGTATTCTTTCTGAAGTAAGGGATGATTTTGTCACGTAACCTAGTGGTGAAACGTCTACAGAAAGATATCAAGGAGTTGAAGTTAAACTGTTGTCATTTCCTTCTGAATTACTTGTATCCTATATTTCGGCAATGTGAACTAAATGGAACTGGATTGAAATCAAATCTAACTGCTTTGCAGTACTCAGTAAATCTCTACTTCCATCAATTACTTAGGTTCTTATATCCTGCTATTTCAAAGAGTTAAAAACTCTTTCGGGTTTATGACCTTAGTAAATTTAAATAAAATGAACATAAATGTTTAAAAGTATTTAAATTCGCGTGATAATAAATACAATTTCAGGTAGACTGAAGCCATAATTAGGATGTTATGATAGAATAAGCATAAACACATTAACAGTAAGTGAATTCATCTGCATTCAAAGGAGTAGGTGAAAAAGATAAGTATAACTGTGGATAAGTTTAGCTTATATAAGCTTAAGTGGGTGTGTGGTAGTATCAGATCGTCATCTATAACTGATATTTCACTATCACTATGAATTTACGCTTGTTTGATTGATCGAGCTTCAGAAGTCGCAACCTTCGAACAACTGCTTCTGCTGATGAAACAGAACATGACAGCTTTTACTGCAGAGCTACCAACCAATAAAAAAATTATCTTGACAAAATGTAGAAGCAGATTTCTTCTGTCTGAACACTGCTTACTTTTTTATCTATTATTTATGAACTCGTTAAAATTCCCAAATGATAGTGCTTCACTGGGTTTTTGAAAGCATGTGCCTAACCTTCGGTATTTAAATATGGCTTTATTCTTGTGAAACTGAATCTAATGTTTACAAAATCAATCAAAAAATTTACAATAAAGTGTAAGTGATCAAAAGATTTTGAAAAACACCTTAAATTTTCACCTACTACCGTCGGTAATTAATTCAAATTGTGACAACCCAACAAAGCCTTTACAAAATATCTGTTAGCTGAGCAAATAAGTACGATCGTTGGTCTCATAAAACCTAACCATTTAGCAGAAAAATAACAAGTTTCGAGTAATTGCATAATTCAGAAAGGTATTTGAATTTGTGACTAGTGAAATTTAGAATGAAAGCTGTTTAACAGTTTATCTACTGTAACAATATGTTTACTAATTAAGCAATCAAGGAAATAACGAAAAATCATTCACGCAAATGTTAATCAGTATTTCGTAATAGTGTCCTCATAATTTATCCATGACAACTAGTTCTAAAGAAGCACCTGATTTCGTAGATACTAACTGTTTTGGTCACATGAAAAACCTTGTTTTTCATCTAATTTGGTACGTAACTTTCAGTTGTCAATGAAAACATTAGAATTGTCCCTGATAACGTCTCTAAAAATCAATCAAGTTTGCTCCCATGAACTTCAAGCAGACTACTTACTTCTAACTGAAGATCTATAAATAATTACTCTTCGCATTATTGATGGATCGTGGCTAGCAGTGGAATCCAGGATGCGCATTTCGTAATATTCGGGACTCGTCGGGCGAATGTACCTGCTTCCCAGTGAGTGATGTTGTTTCCACCAATACAGACCGATCAATTCGGTCCAAGCAACGATGGTATCATATAAAAACAATTATACTAATTACTCTTTGCATTAGATGGCGGAACATATTTTCTCCATTGTTTGTTCATATGAATGAGACCATTAGTAGATTTTTTAAACAAAAATCTCATGGATTCAGTATCGTTACAAGAATAAGAATAGAACAACAAACATTATACTGCAACTAGTAGAGAACTTTTCACAAGCGGTCAGAAAATATTGCTGATTGCATCGAATGCGTGTCCAGAAAGAAGCTTACATTTTTTGAAAATGCTGTCACTGCCCCGAATTATCTAGAAGAATTAAAGTGTAGGATTGTCAAGCCCTGTACTTGGAAAGATTTTCTACGTCCTATTTATAAATCCGTTCGAAATTGAATTCCGCAAGCAAAATTTTCATCGGTTAACTGAGTTAGATGAATGCGTTAAGACTGATGACACCATTAATCTTCATCTAGTGACTAACAGGTTACTGAGTCTCCAAAATGATAGTCCAAATTTCATGCTACATCAAATTCTCGAAATATTTACATATTACCTTATCAAGATCACAGAAGTAGGAAACTTCAGACTACTAACTCGTTTGTTCTTCATAATTTAACTCACATTTTCGCCACATGATCTCCATAGGAATATACATACGTGCAACTTCTTCAAAGTAATATCCATATAAGTGAAATCTAGAATAATATCTTTGGGGTGCGAATGCTGTGTTCCTCCGAAGAAAATGGATTGAACTCAGAATGAATACCAAGTTAAAATGATAACAGTATAGAAAACCATTTGGGACGAAATCCTCCGATGAAAATACATCCAGAAATGTCACACCTGTAGTTGATATCCCAAAATTATATCACGAAGTTGAAATATAAAAGCCGGGAGTGCCTCTAAGGCCCATACTGTTAGTGATAAGGTCATCATGTCAAGTAGTAGGTCACTGATTATGTGGAATTCTTCAGCCTCAGCGTTTTGCAGTCCCTAACTTTTCTGACCCTTCAACTGATTAATGATATCACTTCAGTAAGCGAGACTGATGACCATTTCACATTATATAATACACGTTATCTATCATTAAAGGTGTCGAATATTTAAAACAGTGATTTAATACGCTAGATGGTTGATTATCTTTCTACTCAACCTACGTAACCTGGGAAATTGCTGCTTCATTGTAACAAAAATCCTGAGTTTTTTCTGAATGGTCATGAAATTGATCATGTTGAATTTGGTAGTTTTTTGAGCTTTCTTTTTGCCTGTTTGTTTTTTCTGAGTTGAGAGTATGGTTGCCTTAGGCAATACATACAATAGGTGAAAATGTATCACTGATTTTTAGAGGACATTTTCTCTTTATCCTAGAGCAAACTTTAGGAGAAGCAATTTTGAAGCTATTTAATTCTTATCACGTGAATCTCGATCTTACATTACAGCACGAAGAAAATGATGAGATCAGATTTTTAGATGTGTCGCTGGTTGAAAACACTCAAGCAGCTGCAGGAAGATCTATATGAATGATAAATGATAACAACAAATTACTTATCCACAATATTACATAATTTATTAGGCTATATAATCATGAACTGCAAACAGTAAAGATTGAAAAGAATTGTTGTGCAATAGTGTAGCATATTCTCAATAGATATTCTTTGCTTTCTGATACCACATTGATTTCAGTATAACAGTGTCATGAAAACAGTCTTCAAGCAGTATTTCGCATACAAAAGTCACACCGATGCAAATAAAATTTTCCTAAGCATGCTGACTAAATTGGAGAATAATGGAAATACTAGCCATGTTTCTTTTACATCAAATGTATCAAAATAAAATACACTTCACAACATTTAAAGATATTTATTACTATCAATTAATTCATTATTCCCACTTAATAATACACCTTGTGAGGAACTGGATGGATATAAAATATTCAATTGGTCAAAGACTGGAAGAACATCCGTTGGTGGTTCTGATACATCGATAACATGTTCTTTTTCTGAATGGGTACTTGTTTCAGGATCTTCAACTGGATTCAGTTTAATTGCATCCGTTGGTTGCTGTTCTAATTGCAAACTACCAGCAGGTTTATCGTTGGCCGATAAAGTTGTGTTTTCCTGTATGAAGAGCAATATTTAGTGAAAATTAAAAGTGTATACTAAAACAAGTTATATATGAAAGTAATATATTAGCCAAACAAGTGAAGTGTGTTTTATTCCTACCTGGGTCAGTAGACGTAAGAAAAATATGAACAATAATGATCCACAATATTTCTGTAACCATGACATGTTCAACTTTCTGTATGTTTCCTTTCTATCCACAGACTTGTTTTTGTTCCCAGTGCAGCAATCACCCGTTGCGGAAACAAAGTTCAGTTCAGCTTACTCAGTTTACTGAAGTGCTTGTGTAGCTATAGATGAAAAATACACTACAGGCATTTACTCTTGTTATTTCCCTGAAGAAACCCTGGGATACCAATGGGTTCTCTCATGTAGAAATACTCAGCTCAAACTACATTTCTCTACTGCGTAAGGTGGACTACTTACAAAGTCTTCTGTGTTCTAATGCTTACCATAATGCTGTTGTAATATTATTGCAAGAAATTTGGTTGTACAGCTTTTTTGACAACATTTCAGTATCTTTAAATAGCTCTACAATTTTCCTCTAACTACGGTCGATGTGCTTCAGTCAAAAGTATGGTGGCGTATCCACCCTTATCACCACTCAGTTACGCTTACCGGATTACATGTGTTATACTTGTTTTTATAAAAATATTGAGTGCATCACGATTAAGCGTCGTCCTAAAAGTTTGACAGATATGGCTTTATTTTCATCACCATTTTGTATGTAATCCATGGCAGCAGCTTCTCTGAGTTATCAAGGCTAGCTAATAAATTTTCGAAATACACGGCTTCTGTAATACGCAATTCATTGTTCACGGGGTGTAGTGATTTTAACTCTTGCAACTGCAGCTTTTTGCATTCTCCTCGTCACAGTTACCTAACCGGTTTTTTTTAGTTAGTATTAACTTCAAATAAGACTTGGTTCACAGGAGTAAACAAGCACCGTTACGGGATTCAAATCACCACGGTATACGCGCTCTACCTCAAGTATAAAGAAAACTACAGAATAGTACTTTTTCATGCCAATATAAGTAGAATATAGACAAAAGCTGTACGCACGACAAAACACTAAAATTTAGAGCAATATTACAAACACAAAGTATGACACGTTTACAAATGATGCATCGAAGGCTTCATCTTAAATTTTGCCATGATATTTGCAACGCAGATGCAATAATTTCTGTAACGTCTGGTGGACTTTCACTCCTGCAGTCTAAGAAACTGTGAAGAGAAGGCAACTACACAAGCAGAAGGGTGATACTGGGGTAAGCGGCTTAACTGGTTGGTTGGAACTGAAATAAAACACACCTAAAATAAATGTATGGCTAACAGTTTACTTCTTGTAAAAAGCCTTCTCGACGAGAAAAACTACTAATCCCTTAAAGTAGTCAAAGTCCCTGTTATAAAGTTTGTGACATGGGTATTTTAGACTGCTAAATAAATGCTTAGCCAATGGCGCTCCTTTATTTGTCGATAGTAGAACCGTTGACTTTCCCGATGATTTTATTGGATACGGACGGTATTTTGAATTACCATCCAAACACTTGATTGACGGCACGCATGGCACATATTTTTTAGGGACGGATGAGTCCAGTTGCCGCTAGTGAACGCTTAGAGCCAGGACACTTTTATCTTTACTCCTTGGTGAGGAATGGGTTGCCCATTAACTTCTGAACCTGATTAATCGTCTGCTAACCACACAGACACTGATTGCTGAAGTGCATGGAGGGCACAGTTTAACCGTGCAGAGGATGGGATTAAGAGTGTGAGAAGTGGTTGGCCTTACCAGGATAATTTAGATGAAGCACTGGTGGCCGTTCCTGCTGAGGAACCAAGAGTACATGCTCAGGACTTCCTGACCTTCTCCGTTAGTACGATCTGTTGTGTACATCGTTTTCATGTATATGCACCTGTTTAGAAGCCACCTAATTGGTTGGTGATGTTAAGCTGACCTCGAACTAGTGAAGGCTTGCGGATCTGCAATATCCAATAGATTACGTCATGCGAAAGTCCTTCTGTTACACGGAAACGTATAAGAGACCTGAATGGGAGAAGGAAACTCGGTGATAAAGCCCATGAAATAGTCTCTGCGCCAAACCACAATCAAAAATTTACCTAATGACGTCATACTGTCTAGCTCTTTACACACAACAGTAGACAGTTTTCTTAAATTCAATAAAGTCCCTGCGTTCACATGCGTATAACTGTATAAACCTTCACATAACTTAGAAAGTGATGCGATGAAAGTTATTCAGTTTAGCAGACGTGCTTTCACCCACTCATAAACATTTTCAATGATTCCTCTGCTAAAAATGAATTACCAACCTCTTGAAGGAAAACTGAAATATTTCTGGTACCCAGTTCAATAACTTCCAGAGCAAGTGTAGATTTTCAACCGACTGCAATAAACTAACCTTTCACAAAAAAGATTATAAACGTCCAAGCCGTAGTTGTTACGAATGTCCTGGAAGAATATAAGCGCTGAGTCCGATGTAATCAGTATGAGAACATATGTCAGTGTGATCCCAGAGTCTTTAGGAAATCAAAACAAGGTATTTTTAGACATTTCACTATGTAAGCCATAATACTATAATACATGGTCAAATAATGAACCGAATATTTAAAGAAAGTAGGTAATTCATGTGATGTTGCTTGTATTATTCCGTCGTTGATTCAATCGAATCGTTTGTTTTCTATTGGTGCGGATGCCTTAATATTGCCTGTATTTTGAATTTTTACATCCATCATTAATTTCAGAAGTGTAGATCATCGGTTCGGTAGTTTTCTGTCCAGCCTGAGTAATTAAGATTAGTCGTTACAAGTTCACACTTGTTATTGTCACTTATGTATGCTGTAGATTATATGCTTTTTCTTTCACTTTTATTTATTAACCGTCAGTAATTTTCGTAGTTATTGAAGTTTCAAATAACTAAAGTCATCATTAATGGCTTTGTCTGACTGTTTGCCAAATAGGTGACCAGTCTATTTCTTCTTTTCTGTCTAAAACATCTGATGTTGATATGCAGGGTTTTAGAAGTTAATCTTTCTTTTTGAGAATGGGGACATTCACCATGCAAATCCACATTCTCAAAATGAATCATATATCCAGTTTCGATTGGATGCATAAATATTGCTGATTATTTTTCTAAATTCTTTAATTCATCGTGATTCCTTGGTCAGTGTTTCACATATAACGTTCAAGGGTCTACAACTTTCTTCAAAATAATTAGCTTCACATTCCAAACATTCAATTTTTGCACATAGTTGTTCTGTCATATCTTCAGAATTGCATCTTCCACTGTAACTGATATCTTTTTCTCATAAGAATTGTGAGAAACTTGTTACTTCAGGTGCGCGAACCACAGTTGGGAGTGTTCGACAATTCAAATCAGTTTACCTTCAGACCCAGAAGGAATACTTTATACACTCCAGTTGTTTTGCATCGTAATATTGTCGACATTTTCAACAGAGGTGATGATTACGTTTCATCTGCTTTTTTATAGTACACTTCACTTGTCGATTCTGTCTCGATATCTTTATTTGAAGAAGCTTGACAGAATTCATATTAGGTTTTGGATTGTAAACTGGCTTCATCCTTATTTTCTGAGTGAAAACCATACGCTTCATGTATTGGGAAGAATTCTACTTTGCTACTTATTGAAGCTGGTTTGCTTCAAAATGGTGTTCATTCTCTTTGACGTTTTCTTTTTTTGCATGACTTACTTGCTCCAGAGAAAATGAGCTTTTTTAAGTAAACCAATAGCCTGACAGTATGCGTGCTGGTTATCTCCCCATCAGGTTATTCTCAGTTTAATAGCTTCCCAACTGATACTGACCAGTGGTCTTTCTTAAAAAGCCTCAAGCCCAACCTTTCAAAATTTCGAGTGGTTAGTTTCAGTTTCAGACGTAAACAAGACCTGCTTGAGATATTTCGATCCCATGATTCTTATCTTGTTGATGGCTTTGCAGTTGAGAATGTGTCAAGTATGACCAATTTCGGACCATGCTTTTCTTAGACATTTTCTTGGTCCCCCAAATTCAATTCATTCCAAAGAAGGTCCTTTGCTTGACCTTTTACATAAAAAAACTGTGACGATCTGGCGTAATTCAGCCTCTACTCAAAAGTTCCTTTAATTCCTGTGCTTTATGTTTACTTATTGTTCCCGTTTATTCTTTTCTGCGGACTGGAAAAAAGGATATACTGTATTGCATATAATTCTGAAGCTTGTCAGTTGGACGACTGGCATATCATTGGCCCAGCTGATAGTCGGTCGTAGAGAAACATCTTAACTCTTGCAAACAGCTAGCTAAGGGTATTTTATACAATTAAGGCATTCTATGCATCGACGCCTCACTCTGTTTTTGTCCTCGGTGAAGTTTATGACCGTACAACTAAATGTAAAATCTGCTTATACCTTGTTTAACTTCCACACTGTGTGCAGAAAAGGAATAAAAAACAATCCTAAGAATCGAATTTGCAATCAGAAACAATAAGCATGACCCTGTATTTATTAAACAGTCCAATCATGCTATTATTATTTATGATACATTGTGAAATATTATCATTGCTGATATATTTGAAACATGTTGCATAACGAGTAAACTACTGCAACGTCACATGCTGAGAATGGTTTGGGATAAAGCAAATAAGGTATTATTATTAGATTTGTTCCTTACCGATAGGCCTCTATTTGTATATGGGCTCCTGTGAGAATGCCTCGATATTACCTGTGTTCTAATTATAGTAATGATGGGTTGTGGCTAGCAGTGGAATCAAGGATGCGCATTTCGTCCAACCATCGATGGTATAGTTCAAGCAGTTGTACCAAAACTATATCCGTCGCCCAAGAATTGGCTATTGTGACTCGATAGTGTAGTAGATAATGCTCTGGCGTTTGAAGAGATAGCTCCCAAGTTCGAATCCCGTTGGGACAACATCACTCACTGGGAAGGAAGTACATCCAGCTGACGAGCCCCAGACAAAACGTAGTGCGCATTCTGAATTCCACTACTAACCACTATCCATTAAAACTGTAATTAGAACACCAGTAAAATCGAGGCATCCACACAGAAGCCCGTAAACCAATAGAGAGCGATCACTTCGGTCCAGTCAGCGACGGTATAATAACCTCGCCCGCTTAACTATTTCACTAGTTACTAGTCCGTCCGAAGACCGGGTATAGAGGGAAAGTTGGGCATACGGCTTGCAACCCAATAGCTAAAGAAACTTCAAAACACAAAGAAATTTTATAAAAAATAAAAACAAACTTATTCATAGCTGCAATTCGAGGAACGAAATGATATCGGTTGGTGAAAGTCTTCGTGAAAGCCAATCAGCCTATGTTTCTTCTCTTCTCTCCATGAAAGCGGAAGGAAACATAGAGACATGGAATGTTCGCACTATGTCTGAAGTTGACTGGCTGGCAAGGCTGCTCAGATTGCCAGAGAGATGCGAAGGTATGGCATAGGAGTGCATGGAACCTGCGAGGAATCTACAGATGGAATGGAAGTGGACACTCCAAACTGTCAACTGGAGAGGACAATCAATAATCTACTCCAATATTATCACCCAGAAGACAACCAAGAGGCCACTGAGTTTTCGAGTGGCTATCATGATGTCCCCTTGAAGAGCATCAAGGGCCCTTTCTCATGCAGTGGGAATCAATCTCCTCGTGCAGGATCATGACAGCAAGGTTCAACTCAAAAGGAAGGGAAGCCACAATCACTCAATGCTACGCTATGCACCTACAAATAATGCAGATCAAGAGAAGAAGGAGGAATTCCACAGACAACTGCAATCAGCACAGGAAAATACTGCATCTCTGTTGGCGACATCAAAATTCTACTGGGTAGGGTGACATGAATGCCGAACCGGGAGCGGACAACACAGGAAGAGAACCAATAGTGAATCGCGAAGCACTCAGTAAAGTTAACGAGAACAGAAAAATTGTTTCCAGACTTCTGCGAATTTAATGATTTAGTGTTTGGAAGCACTTGTACTAACGCAAGGATATTCACAAATCGACATGGACTAAAAATCAGATCGACTTCATCTCAATCTAAAGAATGTGGAAAGGGAGTCACTGCCTGCTGGACACGAGATCAAAAGGGGGAGCAGGTGTAGGTTCATATCACTCACTTTCTAAGACAAGGAATGGATCCCGACGGACACATGGAAGCTGATAGATGCAGGAAAGGAAGATGATGGAGCAGAAGATAAACCAGTGCAGTATGGTGCAGAGATGAACAAAAGAGAGAGGAACTGAGTACAACCTATAAAGCCCTACACTGGACAAAGAAGTGAAGAAGAGTGCACGAAAAGACAAAAGACACTTCTACGACACATTGGCAAGTGAAGCAAAACAGGCTGCTGGTAGGAGAGACCTGACAACATTGTATCAAATAACCAGGTTACTATTCGAGAAGAGATCAACTCAGACAAAACCAATGGAAGATAGTGAAGGAAATCCAGTTCCCAGTGAGGAGAAACAAAGGAAACAATGGGCTGACCACTTCAAAATCCTCTTGAGTTGACCAACACCACCAACTGCAACTCAACCAGAAATACCACCAGCAGCCCAGTCACACAACTACCAGTGAACACAAACCCTCAGACAAAAGCAGGAGTGAAGTCCTGAACGCCATGTAGTTGTTGAAATCCTGGAAGGCAGCAGGAATAGATGGAATTCGCCGGGAGCCTTGAAAACATACGCAGAGACATCAGCAGTGGATATGCTTATACCACTACTGCAGAAAGCTTTCAAGGAACCAAGGAATGAAATAAAGGTACCTGACGATTGGAAGAAGGGATACCTTGTCAAATTCCCAAAGAAGGGAGACGTAGGCCTTTGCAAGATTTTATGCAGAATCATGTTCCTGTCCACCCAAGGCACAATATTAAGCCACATCATCATGGACAGATTAAAAATGTCCCGTATTCAAAATTACGACCACAACAGGCTGACTGGCTGGCTACAGGAAGAACAAATCATATGTAGATCAAATTGCAACACCACGCTGCGCATCATCATAGAAGAGATCATAGAATGGCAGTCAACTGAATCTTTACCTCAACTTCATCGATTTTGAAAAGGCCTTGGACAGCGTCGATGGAGAAGTAATTTGGCAGATAGCTGCTTCAACACTACGGACTACTGCAAGCCTTCATCAATTTCATTCAACAACTCTATGATGCCACATACCAAGTGAATTACATTGGAATGCTCAGTGATGCCTTTGAAGTGAAGACAGGAGTAAGATAAGGTTGTCGCTTACTATCATTCATTATCTTCTTGATTGTAGTCGACTGGACTGGATCATGCAACAGACTGTGAGGTGCAAAAAGAGGGGCATACGCTGGACCGGTGAAAAGACTATAGAAGATTTGGATTTTGCCGATGATGATTTATTTCTAATGTCTTGTCGCACAAACTAGAAAATCTACAGGCGAAAACTAACAGGTTGATAGAAGAGACAACGAAGGAAGGTGGAGAAGACAGAGGTGATGAAGATACCCAACCAACAACGACATCAACAACAAGCATCAATCACCATGAACGGAGAAACCTAAACGAAATAGTCTATTTCACCTACCTAGGCAGCATATTTTCAACTACAGACAGCACAGATGTGCATGTCAAAGACAGGATCAAAAAACAAGACAGGCGTTCATTAGCCTGAAACCAGTATGGAGATCTACTGCACTACACTCAGCATAAAGCGTGAACAAGATCCAGATTTTCAACACCAATCTCAAGTCAGTGCTTCTATATGGTTCAGAGACTTGGCGCGTTAAGAAAGGCATTTCCAATAAACTACTTTCATTGGTCAACAACTGCCTACGCTGGCTCGTTACTGAAGATCAGATGGATTGCCAGAAAGAATAAGCAACAAGGAACTCTGGCAGGTCACGAACCAACCAAGAACCCATCGCTCAACAAATATGCAGAAGGAAGTTGAGGTGGATTGGACATAGATTGAGACGACCGATTGAGGACATCACGCGTCAGGTCCTGGAGTGGAATCCAAAGGCCAGACGACGAGTTGGGCATCCCATCTTAAGGTGAAATGGAGGAGATCATGTGAGGAATAAATGAAATCTAGTGGAGAGTCGTGGAGCCAGGTTGAAAAGACTGCAGAGAGGAGAGTAAAATGGTGACGTGCTCCTGAAGCCCTACGTTCTACTAGGATCCCAAAGGAAAAATAATAAAAATAAAGACGGTATAATGAAAGCAATTATACGCAGAAACTGTAATTTGCAATACACAGAGTGAAAACATATACTAAGTACTTACCAATTGTGGTTTGTGATCTTCAATTTTAGACGGTGCAATTTTAAGATTTGATTTGTTTGACTTTTCAGTACTTTTAGTCTCGCTGGCTGAATAGTCGAAAAAAATTACTTAAATAAATGAAGACTTCGAAAACGATGTGTCCAAATAAATTGCTTTACAGTCAACAGTAAAATCCATGATAACAAATTTGACGAGTTAAGAAAAGAAAAAAATAGTATCATGTCATACTTTATGTTAACTTCCATTCATCATTTCGAAAAGATGAGAAAGTGTTTAAAGCCACAAACGTAAACCTTTACATAATAAAAGACTGTGATCTACTTATACGGTATGCGACAAAAACGTCAATTCGTTGTGACATGTTATTGAAAAGTCTATGAAGACGAAGTGTATCTTAGAGTTTGTAGTGTACATAATAATAATATGTATACGAATGAGCATTTTTCATTAAAGGTATGTGATGCCGTTTTAAGATATTGACTTGCGTACAGGTCGCATGGAGCAATGCTACATTAGTGTTTCCTCAAATTATTCCCAAGAAATTCGCGTTCGAGAAAAGGTCCACATTACAACTGATGAAAATGTCCTTTTATTCATTCTTAAGTATGGTGTTTACTGTAGTAACATCAAATTGTAAGGGCCAATCAGAGCAACAACTTGCATGAATATTGATTCTAAATAACGAGATCAAATTAAAACGAAATTGGTGAAGTTACTACGTCAATCTTTACAGTATCCTAAACGGTTTGGCTAGTAATTTTCTGCTCTTTCTTTGAAAAACATCATCTTCAAATTTATAGGGGGATGCTATGTTGTCTTTGACAAAAATAAGGTGCTACTCCTCCTACATGTTGTCATCCCAGCAGATTCCCTAATATGTCGTAGGAAAGTAAAATAAAGAATGGTTTGATCAGTTAAAATATTCTTTGTCTTTCATAAACGTTTTGTAAGTATACACCGTTAGACAGCAAACAGTTTTATTTTGCGGCACATTTACATGTCCTTATTATTAAGACATAAAAATAGAACATAACTGCTTATTTTCCTCAGATGGAGTGTGGTTAAATGTATGTCGGGCATTCTACTTCGTAAAATCTAGCGCCTGCCAAATTTTATGGCATCAGTGGCTACTTATTTGTAAAATGGCACTAGAAACTGCAGTACTTCGCATAATATGAATCTTAAAATAACTAAGTGCCATTAAAATCATTTATTTAAGGAGCTTCATTGTAATGGAAAATACCAAAACAAATTACATAGCAAAATTTACCTGTACTTAAAAACTCTATTTCTCTTGACACTGATTCAACTTTCTCTCTGACAGACATTAAGTTGCTGAATATTTCTTCGAGGCTAACTCATTTACAACAAGAAAAAAAATATTATTTTAGTGTTCCAAACATTCGGAAGAGTGTATTCCTTCTGAGATAATATTTATATGCAAATGTCCTACTAAAAATGCTTCATTCTACAACATAACCACTTTAGACACTGAAATATTGAATCTATTGTTAATTCCTAGCTATTTTAACTTCATTTAAAGCGCTTGGCTACTCGCTAGTGCCTGATAATTAGTCAGCTGATAGGGAAGGTATCTTCTTTAAAGTAACATTAAATTCTACAGTGATCTACTTGTTAATTTTTAACCCGGTGAATTTTAAACATATATAACTTGCATTATATTTTAAATATGAAATCGGACAAATGCTAAAATAGGAACTCTGATTGTTCCTATCCAGTTGTAAACTCTCAGTGAGTGTTACGGTGACCTGCTATCATAAAGTTTCCACGGAACGTATATCCTCAATTTCTTCCATTTTTGTTTTTTTAATCTTTAAAATATGACTTCTAAAAGTATCATGTACCCTAGCATATTTTTTAGACGTCTATAAGCTGTCTTTTCTCAAGCTGAAAACAAAACAAGGAAAAAACTTTACGTCAAATGGAGATAAAACTTTAAAAGCTCAAAAATGCAGCACAGTACTATTCCTACGGCACCTTAGTGAAACTGCAGATCTTTGTACTACTTGATTGAACTACAATCATTAGAATTACACTCGAATTTGTCTTCATTCCTGAGTTCAGACCAGACATCAATGTAGCACTAACTGCCTGATTTACATCTGTGCCTTTAATACTCTTAATAATAACACTATTCAGAAGTAATAACTGTTTATTTTAAAAATTTTGAACAGGGAACGAATTTGTTGAAATACTTCATGCTGAGAATTTCATACTCTATCACATGTCGTTTGAAATAAAGCGATTATTATAACTTTTTTTAAATTGTTTCCTTACTTTTGTAACATACAGCTTTATCTCACGTGTATCTGAAAAAAAGTGAATAATACTTTCAGCTAAACTTATTTTTCAAGCACTAAACTATCATATGGATATCCAGACATGCCCAGGGACACCAAATTAACATTATATCTTCAAGTATCACTTTGCTCAAGGTTTAATTTGTAACCTAGTTCTAACCCAATATTTTTTTATATCATATTCTGTGCAACCTGGTACAGTTAATTCCATAATATCCTATTAACAAAATAATTATGTTATAGTTCTCCAAACGATACAAATACAATAAGTTGACGAAGTTTAAATTTCATCTCAGCTGAAGATTTTTCGAAATACGGTGATTTTCGCTGTCAACTATTCCAAACAATAGGATTATTTTGGATATAAAATTACGAGTAAATTCTATATAAATAAACAGATGATCCTGTACTGAAACATTTTTAAACTATTGCCAAAAATGGTTATAAAATGATTTGAAACAAAAGTTAGTCAAAAGTTTCAATAGAATAACTGACAAAACTAATTGTATTTTCATAGACATAATTTGTCATAATTTTGCAATTTAAGCTGAGAGAGTTTATGTACATATATTCATGAAAAAATAAACATTACCGATCTTTGATGTGGGAAATTCCAGCATCAACTGTTTTCCCTTTATCAAGCTTTGTTTTTCTTAGAAAATTGCGTTTACAATTAGCTTCAAGCAGTCTTACTCTGCGTATTTCTTCCTCTTCATTATCTTCATCTTGTTCTTGTGAAATAAGCTGTAGTGTTTCATGTATTACAGGAGTATTTGAATGTAATTTTGAACGCTGAGAACGAAGATGTGCTGGATATACATTTGATCCTATGCTTGGACGCCGACCAGAACGTTCTGTAAATTTAAACAATCTTGCCCCATCGTCTCTATTGTTGTCCATTTCTTCCCTACTGATATTTATGCTTACCGGTGACCTTGTGCCAGATTGAAATCCTGTTTCAAATGAAGATTTCCAAATAGACATAGAATACTTGTTTCATAAAAACTCGTCACTTTAAAAGTTAGAACTTACCACCACCTGTTCTAGATATTAACTATTGAATAACACAAAGTATTTTCCTCTATAGCGAAGTCACAAAAAGATAACCAGGAAACAAAATCCTCGGTTGCAAGTAAAAATAGCTACACAATGACTAATTGCTGGATATTAACCAAGTTCCTATTTTCTAGTCTCTACTGCTAGCCTAAATCTACTGATGATTTTGCAATGTTTTTATCAAGTCAGAGGACTAAGATTTGTGATACGGATTGGTTTATACTGGGGAACAGTAAGTAACTGGCAAAAGGACTTGAACCTTCATTTCGTATTTGTCGATATTCATTGACAAAACCTAATGGATACCTAATCGAGAAACATCGGTTTACAGACTTTCAACCAAGCAAGCCAACAAACATGAAACCTATTTCCAAGCTTACGTCTAGAGTGCTCCTAACCATCTTTTATTGAAAGCTTCTTAACATTCCTCCTGTTTTTGTGCAGAACATTATCAAAATAACACACCTATATTACACCAACCAATGGCCTAAACAGTATATCAGTCCAGTACCTTCACATTTGATTGAAAACCTATCAAAAGCATAGTAAGGTCACTTTCAATTGATGGGATAGTATGGAAGAAATGCTTAAGTATAACAGTGACGACGACTTTAAGTGGGATGATCAGTATGTATTATTTGTGGGAAGAAGGATAGTTAATGACTAATTATGCCAACAGAAGTTATGAAATTTGATCGAGTTTCATGCCTGTTTAACTACTACTTAAATTCAGTTTCGAGCGAAAAGGTGCAATAAAATGAGCACCAGACTGTTTTTAGGTTGAAACAAACCTTAAAAATGAAGCTTAACAACTCAGGTATTAAACGATGATAACAGGAGCTTTCAGGACAATAGTACGATAACTCTATCGTTTGGTTTCATTCCTTTTTTAAACAGACAGCTCATAAATAATCTAACTACTACCTAGAAGACGTAACTTGACTAAATACACACACATACACATTATAATCACTAGTTATTGGAAGTGGAATATATTGTCACTTCAGACAAATGAAAAAATCCAAGTACCAATTGCGCTGAGTATAAGGATTGGAACCTAAAGTTACGCTTCAAAACATACATTTTATTACGCTAAAGTAAACAAACAAAATGTTATGCTTCCAATGAGTCGACATCAAAATCTAATGTAATTCGTCGTACACAGCTTTGCTTTTGCAAATCATTCTCAGACTAGAGAAACATTCCTTTAGTAAAGATTTATGAAAGTACTTTATTATATTTAACATATATACTTACTGTTTACTCCATGTTTAACCTTTTTTGATGTTCTTATACAATACATGATAAATTCCACAAAAGCTTGAATTACTGATAATGGTACAGGGACGACTGGCTTTTTGTTATATTCAACAACCATTGAATACATGTTAAACTTCCACAGTTCAATGGAGTAATTTTCAATTTCATCAAAAACATTACTGTTTCAAAAAATTGTAACGTAAAGAAAACAAAATTGCATCGAGTCAAATTATAATGATACAAACTACTCCGTGCGTAAAAAAATGAGAAAATAATGATTCTTATTTATATTTGATATGTGTGATTACGGATGGATGGATGAAAATATTAAATGTTTTTGACACAAAATGTAAGTGGAAATATACATAGTGTTATATGACTTCAGCAAACTTGAAACTCTGTTCCCAACCATTTCTGCACCAAGGGTACAAAGGGTGTTCAAAGGTCAATCGCATAACCAATTCGAATAGGTGTTCTGTTTTAGTTGAAGACATTTGCCAGTTAACCTACCTCAACAGAGAGTCAGGACTCATCTGCTTTGCAGGCCACTTAGATATAAATTCACCAACCCCTAACCGCGATAAAGCAATATTTCTTTTAATGCACATGTCTAAAAACGTGCGTAAACTGATAAATATAATTGGCTATGTGGATATAATTACTCATTTGACAAGTTAGCATGTAACCATGTTAACAACCTTATTAGATACAAGATATTCATATGTGTGTTACACATGCCATCTACCGCTAACCGCAAAATTTAACGATTGTTGGAATAGGATCAAGTTGAGAGATTTTGAAATAATTCATGAAATTATTATCTACTGATTACCGCAAAGTAGGTTGGTTTCCTTAATTGGTAATATATGCGTCTCAACATATGTTGGAAGAGATTTTCGGGTAGATTGCATTAACTCAGGCATACCAACTTCCTACTTGTTTGCTTTATGTCTCTTCACCTCCTGTCTTTAGTTTCGTTTTGTGTATTTTTTCCGTGTTGTCAATCGTATCCGCTGGATCCAACTAAATATTATAGAATATTTTACCTACCCATGGGTTAGTAACAAAGTAAAGGTGAAACTGCTGGTCCTGGCAGATTATCTTTTAATAAATCTGCAGACTATGGTCCAAACATTTTAGCTAGAATAATCAAGACTCTAATTGATTTAAATAAGTTAGATATGTTTCTTCCATCTGTGATGTGGACATAGAGTAATTGAATAAAAATTCGATTTATTTTCTTCAATAACAACAAAAAGGATAATAACTTGCCGAACTTTATGACTTATGTTTGCTCAGTGGCTGGAAACAAAGAAACATGGGATGGTACCATATCCGACCAGTGGCATACTTATGCCTTAAATGCATGTTGGATCCTGAAAGATGTGCGTATTTGTTGATTTCCAACTTTAGTCCAACTTTTTGGTATAAGTCGCTGAGAGTATTTTATAAAAAAACTTGTGAAGTGTATCATCATAAATAGGGCACCGATCTGGTGAGTCGCACTTTAGATAGCGTTTTTAATCAACTACTAAACATCCAACTTCCAATCAAAGTACAACCTTCAGATCGTCATATTTTGTGATATTCTCCTCTGCTTCGTCATTCACTTTACGAGTAATTAAGATTTCATATTGCAGTTCATGCTTCTCGTCACAGATATGACAAGCTTATAAAAACGGGACGAGTATGCAGCTTAAAAGTTTCCCTCCTACACAACCTAAAAATTTAATTGTCATCATGCAGTTTGATCACTGAACAGTGATTCGTGGTTCAAAATAAAAGTAATTTAAACTGCCCATTTCATCGGAGTGCATAAGTTACGAAATAAGTTATCTAGGAGATGATCTATTTTCTACAGGTAAAAGAGGTGATAAGTAGATAGTGAATCTTTCAGAACGATTAATATCTACGATGGGGCTTCATTTATTTTGGAGAAGACTCAACTACTATAAAGGAAATTGGGACACAACAGATTTTTGCACACTGTTTTTATTTGAAAGCCTCATAACTCCTGGACAAAACTACAAACTACATTACTTAGTCCCGTTTTTGAAGCAACCAAAAAATCAACATCTGCTGAGGAAGAAACGCAACGTATTAAAGACGCAAACGGTTAAAAAGAGATTTGTAACAAGGCCATCGATTGAGTAAGAAAAATTGTTATCATGGATAAGACAAATAAATGCAAGTCATCATCTTCTTCATTGCAAGATATCAGTCTTCCCCATCAATTTTTAATCCTTGTTCTACCTGGAGTTTGCATTAGATTTTGTAGAGGTTATGTTTTCACTGCTACCAGTGAGATAACCTGATTCACCTATATATATATATATATATATATATATATATATATATATATATATATATATATACATATATATATATATATATATATATATATATATATATATATATATATAGAATAGCTCATTAGAAATCTAGGTAAAGAATAATTAAAAATGCGAGTTCACACTTCATAACAAAAAGGAAATTACCTGAAAATAGCTATTAGTAAATTAATTAGGAGAATACCAGCAATCATCAGGTATAAAGCCAAAAATAAAGGACACAGAAAATTAAACACTGGGCAGTCTATTCCATCAGGATCACCTGAACAATTTGTGTTGACAGCTGTGGAAGTAAGACAGGAATTTCGAAAATTATGAAGAATCACTTAACAAACCTACTTAATAAAACACACAATCGTAATTTTCTGCACTGGCTACTTAATAGCTGACAACAGCACTGTAGAACATATTGTGTTCAGCCTACTTTGATCATCTCGACAGTAAACGTTTCCCTGTAGTTTTTATCCAAAAGTACTCCTACAAACCAGGAACCATCAGATAACGTTTTAACTTTGGTGTAAACTCTTTAGCTGCTTTACAGATTGATTCCGAACTAGATGGCGCATAAAATTCTCAGATCGCATGTGACCAATTTACACGGCAGTATGTAATCTGAATTCCAAGACATCCCTAATCTACATTATTTAGTGAAGGCGTGATCATTTTTCGACGTCACCGGTTGGAATATGTCACTCCTCAAAGTGAATTATTTGGGAGCTATTCAGTTTTGCGTAATCTCTAGCAACCAGTAATCTAATTTTATTCAGCGACCAACTTCAAGATGCATTTATAAACGTTCTGCTGGAAGGCCATAATAACGGGTCAGTAAAATAAAAAACTGGAACGAAATGACGGTGGATGAACATTACTTTGATGAAATAAACACTAGTCAACTTGTAACGTCTTTGTAGCTTCACAAACCTTAACGCCATCAATTGTGATGTTATAAGTAAAACATGCTCATGAGGTAATTGTCGTAATCAACCTGGTTATCAAAGGTTCTTGCAATGACGTCATTTCATCACGCAAGCTATTTTTAAATTATTGAACTCTCACTAGACAAACCCAGTCGAGTAAAATAAAATTTTGACCATTTAAAACAGCCTTGGTTAGCGAACCAATCTTTAAATGCGGGAATTGTGACGGAAATTAAACGATGCTAGACGAAACTAGTAACCTGAATGTTTGTTGAACTATCATAACTAACTTAACCTCTGTCTCATCTCAACCACAGAATATATTACCTGGATATTACCTGAAGCTTAAAAACAAGAAACCAGCTTCTCAACTCAATTTTCTGGTCACAACTCAAAATTGCCACAGTAACAAGTGAAGAGAAACTACTTGGTTTGAAACCTGGCTATCTGAGATGCCAACAGTAGAAAATGAAGGACGATTGAAATATAATAACCTGAATAAATTTCATTTTGTTAGTTCCTCGTCAGATGTTTATGGACTAAAACGTTTGAATATCATTTGAAAAAGGGCTTTTTACACATTTCTAAGTTGAAGGAAGGGAGTTAATGACAACTGATAAGCTATAATAAGAAATATAAACAGCCTGAATACAGACACTTACTTTTAGTGAGAATAAAAGACGTCTATTTTCCGTTCAATAATACTCTATACCACTCACATCATGTAGTGGCAGTGGGCATTCTACTAGACCCTCTCCTGAATGATATCTGTGCGATTAACCTCAAGAAGACAAGGATTAGACACACAACTGAGGAAACGATGTCTAATGCCACATATATTGACGACACAATTGTTGTGTCGAAAAACGCAACCCATGCAAACTACTTACGAGGACGTTTCATTGATATTAATGAAAACATGGAGTTCATCGCCGACCATGAAGAAAAGATGAATTGAACTTAGCAGATATCAACTTCCAGCTAAGATGGGGTAATAAGCCTCAAAGTAACATTCACTGAAATAGTTTATGGAATAGAATATGCCTAGAGTTTAACAGCTTTTGTCCAATCACTTTTAAGTAAGCATTAGTTAAGACACATTTTATAAAGCAATAATGATATATTCAACTGATACATAGAGAGAAGATTTGTAGAGCATTGAAGAAATGCTGCTAAACAACAAAAGAGTATCAGTAAATACGGAAGCTCTGAAGATAATAAATTGAAGAATAACTACAGTAAGAGGGTAGCCGTATTTTAATGAACTCGAATTCTGAGGTGGAAATGTAACACTAAAAATCAGTAAAAATACACTGAACAGAGCATATGCTTCAGTCAAAATGGTATTCTTTGTAAAACAAAATATTTCTGTGTGCAACGGAAATTCCCGCCCATGTTGCCTCTAATTTTATGTGCAATTAACATTGCATATGTGTTACCAGTTACATTGAGAAGACAGTGAAACAAGCATACCTCAGTCTCATTGAACGCATATCAAGACATCCACATCTGAGGAGAACAGGTTCTTCCAGTAGTACAGTCACTTAACATATTATGTACACAAGACAAGATTAAGATTCCTTGAAATACTGCATGGTAATCAGCAAACAGCATAACTTGAACTTCCTGAAGTTTTCTGAGGCTATAGTGATCAAATGACTGAAATCAGAATCATGTGTCTATAGAGAAACAGTGACTTGTCGTACTTTATCCTAGTAACCTAATTTTTCATCTTTCCCATTGTTTAATAACAGAAAGTACTAAGTGAGCCTTTTTCTGTTCACATGGAATTTCATTTGTTGTTGCCTTATAACTAAGGCAACCAATGTTTTGTAGGTAGGATGTGGTGAACTGATAAACTTCAGTAGAATTCTTCATCTGAATACTCAACAAAGACTACTATTAATTTCACTATTTAACATTGATTTTGAAGAAAGTTACACAATACTATGCAAGAGTGAAAATTAATGCGTACTTTGCTAACAACGAATAATTTCAGAGCCTCAAAAAAAATATACATTCATTCATGAAACACCTATAATGAGTGGCGTTATAACTTATGAAATAAATTTCATATTTGTTTTCTAATATACGATTCCTAAATCTTTTTTTATTCTGTAAATTAAAAAAATCAAAACACTGAAACGACTATATTTCTGAAATTCAAAGATCCTGCAGTTGTAAATATACACAAAGGATTAACCAACTAAATACATTTAACAATTTACGGCATTATAAATGTCTTATTTAACTAAAAATGTTCCTAACTTACCAAATGTGTAATCCAACGACAATTCACCATATAAATTCCAATATGGATAATATAAAACATCACGTACACTAGTCCATGAAAAACTATGACGATTAGGGTATAGCAAAACTTGTGTTGACACTCCATACGCTACGAGGACGACAATTAGTACAAATATAAATGAAATTAATTCTTGAAGCATACTTTTAATCATAACCAACTTTGGACCCAAACTTGGATGATAAGAATACAATCCATAAACTCTAATGTAACATGCGATTACTGTTTCGTAAATGAGAAATAGTTAAAAAGAAATATTGAAATAAGAATTTAATGTAAACAGAAGTGGAAGTTTGTCATATTTATCCAAAGAACGCATTGTATTAGAGACTTGGAGAGTAGGAATGAATATTCGTAAGAAGTTACACAATAAATTCAAAAGGTTATTCAGTTATCTCCAGTTCCCACTAACGTCGCCCAAAGAAGAAAGATCTTAAAAACTACTATGAATCGATAAATTCATCTTAAATTGATTCCTTTTTCTGATCCAAAGTGGAACACTAATAAGTTATGGTTTCCTTCTTAAACTGAAGCTGTTACTGTTAAGCAGAGTGTATTTTGTCTGATTTCTTTATTTGAATTTAGTTCACCCTACAAAAACTAAAAGACTTCTAAAGATCAGGAAGGAAGAAATAAATGGTTCAACATATCCCTAGAAATTATCTGTAGTGAACACTTAAGAACACATACGAGAATTTACTCAAAACTGTTGTCGCCATCTGAGTTGTCGGATGGGAATCGGATGATTCAGTGATCAATTTGACGGTGTAACATGAACATGATCCAACATAACCAGTGATTATCTGCCTATTTTTGCTGTTTTACTCACCACAGCAATGAAATGTTCTATTCCAGATTTGAAAAAATTAGCGTTGAAGTTACTAATTAACAAGAATTGGATTACTATCAACTAGCTTTAATTCTAAGTCATGTCTTATATTTCAGGCTATTCACTCAAAATTTATTAAAGCACAACATAGAAGTGATGTAAAACAAACAGATATCAGCCCAGCAGAGTGGTCTGTCATCCCAAAACTTCATATGATTAATTTATCGTATCTTCAGTTCATGGGGGAGAAAGTAAGATATGAAAAAAAAGAATCATAAGGTAGAAGGAAATATATTCTCTAGACTTTTTGACGATTTCAATGTCCCAGTGGCTTAAATCCAATCAAATGCCGCCCTTCATAGATCAATGTCTCACCAATCTTTCTTGTTCCGTAATGAATCAGCTTGAGTACAAAACTTAGTCAGTCAATGCTGACATACACTTCTACCTTCTGAATACAGAAATGAGAACATTCAGTGAATGTTCCATCAGATTTCACCTTTTCTCAGTGTAATATAATATGTGACTGATGACATTTATTATTATATAAGTATTACGTATTCTTCTTTTCAAAATAATTAGTGTATATTCCGACGGAAACACTCTTTAGGTCCGTTGAATTTCTCATAAAAAAATAAATTTCAAGTTTGAGTCTTGTGGGCAATTACTGACTTCAGATTGGTATTCATCATGAACTGATATCAGCTGGGGAATTATTGGAAAGCTTGGAGCACAGGGCAGCTTTTCCGTCCTAGTTCGGAACTCTTCAGTAGTGCTTACCCATGGTCCCACCAAGGATTGAACTCAGGACCTTCAGGTTCCGTGGTCAACCGAGTTGAACATGCAGACAGTTACTCGCTGTCGGCATTGGACTGAGGTCATACTGTGACATAAACTGACAGAAGTAGTAAATAAGCACCATTGGACTCCGATCTAGTGACTCAATGGTAACGTGTGGAGCCTGAAGTTGTTGAACTCGACCTCTGACGGAGTCATGCGTGCGCACTGCTGAAGGGTCCTACACTAGAACAAAACAGCTGTCTAGTGCTCCCAAGTCTCTTATATTCCTCTAAATGACATCAGTCATTGATGAAAAATAAATTTCCCTACTTCCTAATACTGTTCAGAATCTGTCCCTCTGAAAGAATACAATGGATAACAATATTCTATTTAATGTTGAACTACTGAAAACGTGAGCAGAAATTCTATAATCTTGTTCTCATACCTTTTGGCAATTACTACTAGAGTATTCCGCAAAAACGTGCGGTAATACACGCTTGACCAATAGTTTAACACAGCTTCATATAGCTCTACTAACTCATAATATAGATGTAAAATTTCAAGGTTAGCTTATCTTATTTTATATCTTATCTATATTTTATATGTTTGCTTTTCTCAAAATATTCTTTTTTATTTTCGAGTGAATTCTACTAAAGTCTGTTTGCTCATTGTTTCTTTGAAATAACCTCAGGATACAAGTTGCGAGTTTTCAGTGGGCATTTATTCGATTTTAAACAAGTGAATTTATATTTTCGAAAAGTATCACGTATACACTGACAAATAAGTAAAGATTAACTACCAAAGGAAAGGTAATAACATGTTATGAGAAACAACAAACAATGTGATTGGATAAACAATGTACGTTTACCAAAAAACAGAACTCACATGTAATCACATAAAATGATTTAGCGTATACAAAAGTATTACCCATTCCAATACGAAGAAACATACTCAATAAAGCTAATAAGATGACAAACAATTCTGATCTGCCCCATTCATAGTGATCCCACCATGAAACAATTTTTCTAGGTCCAACGCCAGGTGATAAAAATACCTAAAAATAAAAAAGTATGACTGCACAGTAAAGTTTTAACAGTTGAAACTACAAAACAACAAAGTGTTGATTAGATGCAATGCTTTGAACTTGTTAGTGCCATATTCTGACTTCATAATACCTCATGTGCATATATTTCCTATTAAATCACAGCAAAACTGGGTATAAGAAACTCATTTAATTAAAATTACATGGAACAGACAGTTGACACAAATTGGTCATCAGTGGGTAACTGATGTGTCTGTCTCATCATCAGTCCTCAACACTTAACTTAGTAATTATATTAGGAAACGTGGTCGGTGAGCTTCGATCAACGCCGATCACTACGAACTAAAGGACTACATTGGTTACTTACTGGTGACCAATTGGTGAACTTAATCCAGTCCTAAAGAAGAATCAGTCGTAGGCGTATTATTTTAGTGATAAGGCTTCTGGTTTCAACACTTTAAAATGCAGGTTAGAATCACCAAATAGGATAACAGTTTCCTAATGCTTACAGATATTTCTTTCTAGTGAAAGCGAACAAGCATGTTACCCAGGTTCAGGGCTTTCTAATAACTGACTGTCAACAACTAACATTTAAACAAAACGAGTGAGCTCATTCAAAAACATGAAAAATTTTTTTATTTATTAAGACTAGGATGTTCATCGGATAAGAAAATTATCACAAAATACCTAATGGTAGGATATATCAAACATTTTCGTGAAAAAGCTCTGTCAGTTAACATTGTATTCTTAATCTCATAGCTTAGAATATGAAGTTTGTGCCTAAATAAGCGCACACTAAGCTGAGGTATCCATGCAGAAAGACTAAGAATAAGGTCACTATTGCTTAAACCCTATACGAACTGGCACAGGAATAAAAAACTGCCCTCCAACCATATGATTAGGTGTTGATTTTTCACTATACTGAATTCTAGTCTTGATACAAAATACATAACCCTGTAAAAATAAACATGGTTTATTCATAAGATAAGAGCAGATTCCTTTCAATCCCTCGATGTCAGCCGCAGAAATATACTTTAAAACCATGCAGTTTGGTATCGTTTAAGAAAACCACGATCAACAAAGACTTATTTTATGACTTGTCGTCACAGCTGTACAGTGGCAAAGTAGTTTTGAAACATCTTGGTAGGACACTACAAGAAATAAGGCCTAACACTGGTCGGTAATAAAAATCTTTGAACCATTATTTGGAAAAAATAGTATTTTTTGAGAGTCACTGAATCAGTCTTACGCAACCCATAAACTATGAGCACTAATTTCAAACTTGAGTATGAAAGTAGTTTTCTCTAGAAGGAAATAGGAGACAATAATTGTAGATACTACAAGAAAGAAAACCCGGAAACACTGGACAACTGTTCGTCCCAGCATGAGACTCCTTATCAGTGCGAAACGTGAGAGCACCAGGCCGGTAAGCCGGTGGTAGCTGGTTCGAATCTGGCAGCGATCCAGATTTCCTCCTCACTAGTCATCATCCAGTGTGCCAAACCACTGCTATCTCAGATAGTCAAATGAAAATCCATTATTAAAATATACAAATATGTTTTAATACTTGAACTAATTCAATGAAAGCCTATCGGATTGAAGAAATGATATTATTACGCAACTGAGGTTACAGGAACTAAGTGACTTGGATTATAAGAACGGTTGATAAGATAAGATCAGGAGGTAAACAATGAAGCTAGATAGATGTATTCTGAATAATATGAAAGGTGTCAATTTTAAATTACGCAGACAAGTCAGAAGATCACATTTGTTACGAAAATAAGATGAGTAGAATGCTGAAAATGAAGTCAGGAGTGTAAAATGGAAAAAGTAATATGTATTTGAAGTTATAACTTGGGAATAAAAAACACAGTATAATCAATAACAATATTTGCCATGGTAGGGACATAAGTTTTGTTTTAATCCTTTGATAACCATCATATCAATGGAACACATGTTCGACTTCACTTATATATTGATCTTTAAACAATTTCTGAACTTTGGCTTCATACCAAGTATCAATAGATGAACGGCGGCTTCACTGCTGAAGACTTTCACACCTCTTAGTCGAAAGTTACTTAGAACATGCATGCAAATGTTATCACAAGCAGTTTTGCATGTCATCCGTCTAATGTATGTGCTTTGACATGAACACATAAATTAGTAAACACGAGTGAAGATAACATGAAAAGGGGAACTTGTTAACATCAGATTGTCTCATTAAGCAATTCATGTGAAGAAGAGTGAATAACTTAATGTCTGGAAGGATTTTGTACAATACATAATTTATTCTCTAAGTCACCCAGAGAACCGAGATTCAGAGAGACAGATTTTTCCAAACTGTATCACGCTTTTCATTTTTAGCTGTCCTTTCATTGTGCTTATCTGTGTGACCATGCTTGCTTCTTCCACTGTAAACTCTATGTTCTGATGTACTTTGTTTATTAAACTTTGTAACTTTCAGTAATGTTTAAGACTACTGCAAACGGCAAATGTGTCATTAACGCAACCTCCCGTAAAATATCTCTTCGACTACACTCTTCTTATTCGGTCATTTTGAGTTCACTATGAAGATATCGGCTTAAACTGGACCTGAAAACTACCCAACGCATCTTTATTAATATGTCGTTACGCGGAAATGGTGAATATAAACTGAAGCTTCTTAGTTCATATGAAGAAATTGTGTCTAGATAAATGAGGAAAATCAGAATGATGATATACAACCTCTATAGTTTCTTCCAAGGTAATCTTTGCAACTAACGAGGATAAATCAAAGGACACCTGAATTTTGGGTATAATAGAAGATCTCTTTCAAAAATAAACTGCTAACTTTTCGTGAATTAATTATAAAAGTTCTTCTAACTAACAATCAATCTTATGAACGCCGAATTAACTAATGACAGTGTAGCTCTATTTGGGATATTAAACGTATACGCCTTTGTTGAACCATAAAAACAAAGTGGGCATGATCCTTGAAGCTTGTGTTCGATATAAATTAGAATACAAATCAGTTTCTCTTTTAGGCGTTCACGCAGGAGCATCATAATTGATTTTTCTGCAGCTGCAGCCATATCTCTGTTGGGATTATCAATTATAAATCTTCATGTGCAGTCTAGTACTAACCTGATTTCATGTAATCCTCACTTTAGTCCATAAATATGAAACTGCAACACGTCTCGTCAAAATATCATAATTATCTCATTATTCTTAAGATTTTCCAGTGCCCTTTTCGTGGCACAAATCCTGTTTTTATCTCTAGAACATTCGTTTAAATAGTGTGTATATCACCGTATCAACAGTTCATGTAATCTAAGTCACTCAATTCTTGCCACCTAGGTTACGTAACAATGTCACTTCTTCAAGTCAGTAGTCTTCCATCAAACTGTTTCAAGTATGTAAACATTTTTCAAAGCTTTGATACTGAAGTTAACCTGGGTTTTAAGGAGGTGAAGAAACACATAATGGATCCACACTATCCTGCTGAAGCCATTTTTCTTGCTCAATTTAGATTACTTAAAGGAAGGATATCATATGACACAATTTCTGCAATTATCTTCATACGTGGAAGTTATATCATGCACATACTTTGTAACATACAACAGGACGTTCTCTCTTAACACTGTAACGAAATATCTCTTTCATGGAAGTCTTATGGTCAGTAAATGTGTTGAGGTATTTTCGCCCAATTACCTATGAGAAACAACTCTAACGAACTTCATCCCACTTTAAGTTGAGACGCAGGTATTTACTAAGCACTTCTAAGCTGCCTGAAGTATCGGGTTAACTTTTCATATATAAATATCAGTAAATGATGTTAGACAATAGTCTCTCCCTCTGTATACACTGTCTCTATATCACATGAATGATAACTTCTTTTGATAACAGATGTACTCAGACTTCTTGCTTGTGTTTATAAGGATGAAGCTCTAAAACTAACCGACCCTATATTGCACTTTCGTATGTGAAAAATTGCTCTCAAAAGTGACCCATCACTTCTAATTGATGACTTCAAATGTAAGAATGTATGTTTATACTTCATTTCAACTTCAAGCGTAAAGTAACTAAATGGTTAACTAATACTGAACTTACACTATTTCATTGCAAAAGTTAAAAATGTTGTCTTTAAACTCATAGTAAACCTTGAAATGGTCAATAGCCGATCGTCCATTACTAGATGAACGTCTGGATAAATATGGCCAATTCCTAAAATAGAATTCAAACTCTTGCAACTTATAAACCTTATATATAATACCTAGTGTTTATTTCATAGTACTACTGCTAAATGAAGAAGTAACGTCTACATAAACTATAATTATGGTATACCGTTGAAATAAAAATATCCACAATGTCATATATTTTTGCGTAAATTGACAGTTTCTTGAGAAATGGAACATTTGCACTGAATTGTAAAGTGCAAAAATCACTTTGTCTCATGGTTAGTTTTGTCCTTCTTGTTGAGTAATGAAGTACATTATATGTGAATCTAAAAGATTTCTTGTGAATTAATGTACAAATAGCAATAAAACAGGTTGAGCTTGATAAGTAATAGTAAATTCATGATCTTGAATGTTAGATTTGTAAATATTCTGCAACGAGTGCAACATACTGCAGACATAAGAATAAAGCAGAAGAAAAGAAAAGGATTAAATACCGTAGGTGGATAACTGACACGAAAATTTTTTTCCGTTTCTAGATTTCCCTTACATACTGATACGCTGTAAGCGTGGTTGTTTCCTAGACAGAACTTCCTACGCAACTGTGTTTTTATTAAGTTTAGTCAAGTCTTAAACTAAGCATTAGTTATATCCTTCGCAAATTTGAGTCCAAATAAAGAGTAAACCAATCAGAAGATCACGAAAGACTTCAAATTTAAGCTGGAAGTTGCTGCTTTTTATTTATCATCAAAATTATGCTAATTGTAAATAAATTTTATCTAGTAATAATTTAATTTATAAAACAACAATTACAACTCAATCATGTGTTTCTCATTGTGATTACACCAACCTGTCTTATAACATCTATTATCATGGCTAAAAAATAAGCCATTATAAAACCTTCATGAACAGTGATCTCATCGGGCACAGTACTGAATAGTAATGTGTATGAAAAGAACAACAGAAATATCACGTAGACCAGCTGTAATGGGGAAATAAGCAAAGAGAAACAAAAAGAGTAATTGACTAGATTAACTATTAAATAGAACCAAAAACATTGGGTACATACATATATATACATGTATAGTCTAGGTCAAATAATTGTATGTATTCATACATATACGACCTTCAAAAAAAGGGATAAGTTCAATGACTAATGTGAACTAATTGGTTACTTAACTTGAAATACTGGTGACAGACTTGTTTTCTTGGACAGATTAAATGGCTACAGTTGGCGTAGGTTGTTAAAATGAAACTAAAGTTTACACGCAGTATCTTTGATATAATATCATACATAACTTCCTTCGATACAGTTTTCATAAAACATCTGAATGTGTAGTCATACCTTAAGGAAGCGAATATACGACTTAATCATATGTATATATTTTTCAGTTAAATCGTTTTCAAATCATGGACGTTTATTCTTACAGACGTATTTATTACTTGCGCTGAAGAGTTATAGAGTGCTAACCTGAAACCAGCATGCCATTGAAAATAACCTTTAAAATCAACCAGATAGCACTTACAGGTTACCTAGTTCGCAATAAGGGAGAACAGTATTGAAATAAGCAGAAATATTTTTATTCAAAAAATCATTTAAATAATGTCATTTCAGTCAAATGGAGATACTTAAAATCAGACGGTAGGAGTCAGTCAGTAAATACAGTTGGAATAAGAAACTTATCACAGTTGCAGATACGTCTTTCTGAAGGGCGCCAACCAACACGACACATTGGTCTTTAGCTTCCTGCAAAATAACTCCTAACGCCAATACTAAAAGACATCGCACTGAACTATGCAGTTTTAAGGTGGTATGGCAGACTTCATCAGTCAAATTTTGCGAACTCTTACCTTCTCAAACCTCATAGCTTCGTCGGTTACACCACGGTAACCAGTTCTTACACAGCTCATTGTCACAATAAGCAATCCAACTCAAAACAGACAGATATTTATAAACGGATCATTATTTTTGGATACTTGTAAGTCTCCATTCTTATACCGGACCGAACTGATCGACCACTGTTGGCACATGGGCTCTTATGTGGATGCCTCGATATTGCCTGAATGTTTACCGTTATAAGTGACCTGGATGTGGCTAGCAGTGGGATGTAGGACAAGTGTTTCGTGTTATTAATGACTCGTCAGCCACATGAGCCTGCCCCCTAGTGAGTGATGAGTCATATATAGGACGAAATGCGTGTCCTGGATTCCATTGCTAACCACAACCAAGTCAGTTATTCCTAAGCACACTTTTAATCGATGGTGAGGCATCAAAATATATTTTTTTTAAATCAAATGACCAAAGAGAACATTTGTGAGACAGAAAAACTAAATATTTAACATACTCATACCTGCCGTCCAAAAACTCCTTCATCATGTGAGATTAATTTAAAAATTCCAGCTTCATGAAAGGAAGAAATCTCACAGTTTTAGATATAAAAATATAGGGAAGTAAAAGTAGTCGTGTGCCTTTTAGTAACTGAAGATTTTTTCATGATAGTATGATGATAAACAAACAAGTCAGTCGGCTAAGGGGAAAACTGCCAATATCCGTTACTCCCGTGGTTCAGCGCTTGATATCAGTCTCATTTGAGAGTTATCTAAAACCGAATTATCCCAATCTTAAAATCCCTGCATATCACGAATGGAATACATCTGAATCCATTATTCTTTCGATTCACAGAACAGGTATATCAACTTACTTATTTTCATGCCATTAAAAGTAAGTGAATAACTAAGAGACGTTTTAATAAACCACTGTTCTAATATTATCAGTCACTGAAATTAATTATTACTTATCCATTTTAAGAAACAACTATGTAGACACTTATGTTATGTCAACCGCTGCTAAACAGGCATCAGTACGTTATTCAGCACCAAATGCCACTACTAGAATGATGTCAAATTTTAGGAAGGAAACCCTAGTTTGAGAGTAAATAATACAGGAGAACACACGCCTGATTTGCAAATAGGTTTTGAATGATAAGTTTTGTGCAAAACAAACATGGAATGGTCGTATACCATGCATAAAAAGCCAGAATACTAAATTTTCACATCGAGAATAAGCTTTGTTAATTAACTTGGTGTCAAAAATCTATATTCTAGAAAATAATAGACATTCTGAGGTGATGTCAAATATTTGAATCTCAAGAGGATAATTTTGATGGTGTTGTGTTTTCTAAGCTGGATAGTTTAATCGTAAAACACTCATTGTCATTCTAGACGACATCATAGGCACAAACTTCAAAAAGAAGTGTGCTATAAGGTTTTAGCCAGTATTTATCTAGTAGCTTGTCCTGATGACCTTGTGTGTGACAAGTTATTTCTGTCAAAGACTCGTCATTGTCTCCATATTTATCTTGATTGGTTTTCCTATTGATGTGAAATTTGACCTCTTTGTTGTTTCTTACTGGTTGACAGACTGGGCCAGTGTCAATATATCTGTTGACTGCTGACTGACGTGAATACCGAGCTTCTAAAAATTCTCTGGCAAGTTTTATTCCCTCTATCCATACTGTAGTACATCAACATTGCGAAGAAAAGAAAGAAACTATTATATGATTTTTTTAGAAGAACAGCTATCCACGGGATTTCATCAATACATGTTTAAATAATTCATCGTCTAAGAAGTCAACCTTGAAGATCAACAAGCAAGCTCTCTTACCGTATATGAAGAACGTCTCCGAGATCTCGACTAGCTTACTGAGACCTTTTGGAATCGCTGTAGCTCATAAGCTCATGAAATCTCTTCACTTTCTTTTCTGCTGACCAGGAGATGCAATAAAGAAGGAAGGCAAAGCAAACACTATCTACAAAATAAACTTCAGAAACTGGGAAATTCTACATCAGACAGAGTGGTAGCTCTCTTCGCATCCGTGTGAATGAACATCAACTCCCAGTGAGAAGTTATGATGCGTCAATGCATACGGACAACTGTAGACACGAATTTGACTGGGAGAATATGGAATTCCTGGATAGAGAAAATAACAAGAATATCAAAGAATTTTTAGGAGCTCGGTATTCACGTCAGTCAGCAGTCAACAGATATATTGACACTGGCCCAGTCTGTCAACCAGTAAGAAACAACAAAGAGGTCAAATTTCACATCAATAGGAAAACCAATCAAGATAAATATGGAGACAATGACGAGTCTTTGACAGAAATAACTTGTCACACACAAGGTCATCAGGACAAGCTACTAGATAAATACTGGCTAAAACCTTATAGCACACTTCTTTTTGAAGTTTGTGCCTATGATGTCGTCTAGAATGACAATGAGTGTTTTACGATTAAACTATCCAGCTCAGAAAATACAACATCATAATTGTCATTTCTCACATAATATTTCTTTCTATTTCTGGTTAATGGAATCGCAGATCACCAGATATAATTGGAAATATAAACTAAATTATCTAGTGGATGAATCTAAATGTCGCCTCTAGGTGTACTGAAACCTTCTAAAGCCTATAACAATACGACTTAGAAAATGGCCACCGGTGACGCAAGGAGGAAGCCAACCCAATAGGACTATTATGAAGACCTAAGTATCACAAGAAGAGTACACTGAATATCTCTTCTTTTGATTGCTACTACTAAGTATAAAGTAGTACCACAATAAATACCAAACAAAGTATCATCCAAGAGGCGGTTTTTATCCAAAGGAAAATGATGTTTTGTGTCTTTTCATACTGCGTTCCTTTTCCTTCAACAGCTCTACTCTTTTTTCGCATACTGCTTTGGGCTACTTGCTAATAATAAGTAGCGTGACTCATTTTCTTTTATAATGTTACTATATCCACAGCGTTTTGTGCTCATTTCGGTTCCTCGGTAGATCCATAAATATTAATATCATTCATAATTTAAAGTTATGGTACGCTGTACTCCTTGTTTCCCTGATAATCTATTCTAGCTTGAACAGTTGTTTGTCTCATGTTTTTTAATTTCACCCCTAAAATCCGTGTATTTTTCATATTTTCTTTTGGCTTGATTTCGACACAGCTTGGCTGCTAATATTGTTTAAACACTTTCTACAACGTACTTTAGATGGTCAAAAACCCAAATACACATCAGGGCTGGAAGTTTGTAATAAATTAATCGTTACCACTTACTAATAATCTCGCCTGGTTAACTATTTCACTAGTTACTAGTCCGTCCGAAGACCGGGTATAGAGGGAAAGTTGGGCATACGGCTTGCAACCCTATCCCAGAAAACCAACCCAATAGCTAAAGAAACATCAAGGCACAAAGAAAATATGAAAAATAAAAACAAACTTATTCCTAGCTGGAATTCGAGGAACGAAATGATATCGGTTGGTGAAAGTCTTCGTGGAAACCAGTCGGTCGATGTTTCTTCTCTTCTCTCCATGAAAGCGGAAGGAAACATAGGGACATGGAATGTTCGCACTATGTCTGAAGTTGACTGGCTGGCAAGGCTTCTCAGATTGCCAAAGAGATGAGGAGGTATGGCATAGGAGTGCCTGGAACCTGCGAGGAATCTACAGATGGAATGGAAGTGGACACTTCAAACTGTCAACTGGAGAGGACAATCAATAATCTACTCCAATATTATCACCCAGAAGACAACCAAGAGGCCACTGAGTTTTCGAGTGGCTATCATGATGTCCCCTTGAAGAGCATCAAGGGCTCTTTCTCATGCAGTGGGAATCAATCTCCTCGTACAGGATCATGACAGCAAGATTCAACTCAAAAGGGAGGGAAGCCACAATCATCCAATGCTACGCTATGCACCTACAAATAATGCAGATCAAGAGAAGAAGGAGGAATTCTACAGACAACTGCAATCAGCACAGGAAAATACTGCATCACTGCTGACGACATCAAAATTCTACTGGGTAGGGTGACATGAATGCCAAACAGGGAGCAGACAACAAAGGAAGAGAACTCACTATGTGTTGACAAGCGTTCGGTGAAATGAATGAGAATGGAAAACTGTTTGATGATTTCTGTGCATTCAGTGATTTGGTGGTTGGAGGTGAGGCAGTGTGTACAAACACAATGGATATTTACAAAGTGACATGGACTCTAGTTCACTAGATAGATACACTAAAAATCAGATCGACTTCATCTCAATGTGAAGAAAGAGGAGACGCAGCCTACTGAACACGAGATCAGATCAAGAAATGGAACAGATGTAGGTTTAGACGACTATCTAGCGCAAAGAATCTTCAAAATCAATTTGAAAACCTTCAAAGAAGCTGGTGATAGACCGAAGTTGAAGTCCAACACCCAGAACAGAAACTGAAGGATGAAACTACAATGGACTTCTCCTCGTCAGGCAGAAATGGGAGACTTTGAAAAACATCCGTGAAGAAACTTGCGTGGAAGAACACTGGTACACTTTGAAAGCTATAAGGAGGGAAATCTGCTTAACAGTATTAGTAAGGAAGTTAAAACGCGACCAGGAATGGATCTCAACAGACACATGGAAACTGATAGAGGAGAGGAAGATGGTAATTGTGAAGCGGAAGATGAACCAGTGCAGTGCAAGAATGCACAACGGAAAGAAGACATGAGTACAACGGATAAAACACTGGACAAAGAGGTGAAGAGGAGTGCACGGAAAGACAGAAGACACTTCTACGACACATTGGCAAGTGAGGCAGAACAGGCTGCTGATAGAAGAGACCTGACAACATTATATCAAATAATCAGGTTACTATTTGGGAAGAGATCAACTCAGACGAAACCAATGAAAGATAGTGAAGGAAACCTAGTTAATAAAGATGGGAAACAAAGGGAACAATGGGCTGACCACTTCAAAATTCTCTTGAGTTGACGAACACCACCAACTGCAACTCGTCCAGAAATACCACCAGCAGCCCAGTCACACAACTACCAGTGAACACAGGCCCTCCGACAATAGCGGAATTCCTGAACGCCATAAAGCTGCTGAAATTCGGGAAAGCACAAGGACCAGATGGAATCCCACCAGAAGCACTAAAAACATACGCAGAGACATCAGCAGTGGATATGCTTATACCACTACTGCAGAAGGTTTGCAAGGGAGGAAAGGTACCTATTGACTGGAAGAAGGGATACCTTGTCAAACTCCCAAAGAAGGGAGACGCAGGCCTTTGCAAGATTTGGCACAGAATCATGCTCCTGTTCACCCAAAGCAAAATACTAGGCCGCATCATCCTGGAGAAACTAAAGGATGCGCTGGATTAAAAATTATGACCGGAACAGGCTCGCTGGCCGGCTTCAGGAAGAACAAATCATGTGCGGATCAAATTGCAACGCTACGCATCATCACAGAACAGATCGAAGAATGGCAGTCAACTAGATCTTTACCTCACCTTCATCAATTTTGAAATCGCCTTTGACAGCGTCGATCGAGAAGTAATTTGGCAGTTTCTTCAACACTACGGAGTGCCACAAATCTTTATCAAAATCATTCAACAGTTATATGAAAACTCCACATGCTAAGTGATCCACAGTGGATAGCTTAGTGACACCTTTGAAGTGAAGACGGAAGTAAGAAAAGGCTACATACTATCACCCATGATCTTCCTAATTGTGATGAACTTAATCATGCAGCGAACCGCGAGGGGCGAAAAGATGGGCATACGCTGGAACAATGAGAAGACCCTAGAAGATTTGGATTTAGCCGATAACTTGTATTACATGTGACACAAACTCGAAGATCAGCATAGGCGAAAATCAACAAGTTGGTAGGAGTGACGAGGCAGTGAAGATGGGACTTCAAGTGAATGTAGAGAAGGCAGAGGTGATGAAGATACTAACCAGCTGCAATAACAACAACGACAAGCATGAATCATCATGAACGGGAGAAACATAAAGGAAGTAGTCTCTTTCACCTACCTGGGCAGCATCGCTTCAACTACAGGTGGCACAGACGGCGATGTTAAAGACAGGATCAAAAAAGCAAGACAGGCTTTCACTTATCTGAAATCAGTGTGGAGACCTACTGCAATGTGCTCAGCATAAAGCGTGAACAAGATCCAGATTTTCAACACCAATCTCAAGTCAGTGCTTCTATATGGTTCATAGATTTGGCGCGTCATGAAAACACTTCCAACAAACTACAGACATTCGTCAACAGGAACCTACGCTCAAAACTGCAGGTCATATGGATGGCTAGACAGAAAAAGCAACAAGAAACTCTAGCTGACAACGAACCAACCAAGAACCTATCACTCAACAAATATAAAGAAAGATGTAGAGATGGATTGGGCATACACCGAGGAGCCCTATGTTCCACTAGGAACCCAAGGGAATAATAATAATAAATACTGTCTACTAATACAGCACTATAACTCAGAAAAACTTTGCGTCTCGAAATCGCTGTGGTGTTCTTTTCGAATTTCTTGGAAAGCAAAAAGATGAAAAAAATGTTTTCATTGGCTGATCACTGGTTATGTCAACTGAACAGTAAGTTTTAGGGTTATTTACAATAATTTCAATTGATGATTTCCATTGGTCACCTACGGTGTATAAGCAGAATTTTGTCTTCGGAGCTGTATAAAACATTTTTACTCTTTCCTTGAAATTTCTTCTACTATATGATATTCGCTTTCTATCTGCAGTATAAATGTCTTCTTTACTGAATTGGAATTGGGTATTTTCAATGGATTCACTTATTTTTTCGTATGTATAATCAGCAGTTTCATGCATACGCTTATCTTCCCATGATAAGATGCGATCAAAACACAATAAGAATGGCATTAGTAAAGTGGCCAACGTGACGAACATATCAGCACGTATTCCGTGACACCAAGCGAAATGCAATGAATTTTGACATGCCTGTGAACTAATAAATTTACGCCGAACAGATTGTGCAGCAAGTTGTAAACAATTGAAACCACCCCATAGTGTAGATTCGCCTTCAACCAAATAAAGCGTAAGTTCCTAAAAATAAAATTTCAAAATTTAATCTTTTAATCTATGAAATAATTTACTTTTTTGACTCACTAAAATTAGGTATTGTGAATTGAACTAGACATTTAATTTAGCCATTATTAAGTTGAACACTTAAGATCTGTATTTCACCATTGTCTCTCTGGTATGTCGTTGACTTGTTTGCAGGTTTAAATGATCAATATATTAAACCTAATCAGCTACTGTAAAACTTTGAGCTTCGGCAAACATGGAGCTACCTATGAAAAGAAGCCACAATGTTAGATAACCAAGCACTAAATTTTTTCAGAGTGAAAGATTATTAATGTAACGATTTGCCTCAATCGACTATTAGGTTGTTAATTAATTTTACTCTGTGTATGCTTCTGCTCATTCTGTAAGTGTAAATTAAATCAAAGAAATCTATCAAGGTTTCCCAAACTTTTGAGAATAGTTATGTTCATATACATAAACTACTATTCATGTAGTTTATTGTCTGATACCCTTTGATTTATAACCTGTCCAGTATCAAAATGTTATGTCACTTTAACTTGGCCCTCTTAGACTAACAATTAACCAAGTATGTTTTCATCATCCATATGAGTTCAGTAAACCCCTGACGATGATAACAAAAAACCCTACTTATGTTGTCGCTATTATTTGTATTTGTATTACTGTCATTATTTCGCTTCTTATGTGTTTGTGTGAATTTCTTAATAAGATGATGGGGATAATTATTAATTATTAACGCTTCTTTTATGTGTTTCAATTCCTTATTTAAGTCCTTACAATGACTAGTGAGTTTCTTAGGCCTGTTATTTAGACATTTGACGAAACCCGCTTTAACCGACACTGGATGAGATGACTTGAAGTCTAGATACCTGTTAGAATGTGTTGGTTTTCTGTAGACGGTAGTATCTAAACCGCCATCTGTCCTTCGTTTTATTCTGCAATCCAACATAAGTAATTCTCCTTGTTCATTTTCCACTTCGTAAGAAATTCACACAAACACATAAGAAGCAGAATAATAACAGTAGTACGAATACAAATAATAGCGACAACATAAGCAGAAGGGAAATCAACACCTTTTTGTGATACCATACAAGGAAGGAACAACAGAAACCATACGTAGGATTCTCAACAAGGTTGGAATTAGGGTGGCATTTAAACCAACAAACTCACTTAGAGGTAAGCTTTGTCGGCTAAAAGATCCGTTGGAAGCAATTAGGCAAAATAATATAATCTACCGAATTCCATGTAATGACTGTGAGGTCAAATACATAGGTCAGACTAGCCGGTCGGGGTCGGTTAGATTAGCAGAACATAGGAATTTAGCTAAACATAGGACGACAGACTCCAATAAGATCAATAATCTAGAAAAACACTCGGCCATTGCATTACATTTATTAGCACATAACCACACTATAGGGTGGGACAAAACCGCTGTACTTAAGTCTAATATAGCTAGGTGGAGAGAGAGATTAATTACTGAATCTTTGTTCATCGAATCCACACCCAACACATGTAATAGGAATGACGCAACACCTGTACCAGAGATATGGAAAACTTTACTACCAATCGAAAAAAACAACAAAGAAAAATCAGGTGACAGGACTATAAAATCAGATATCGAAAGAAGTGTGATTACATTGGTATAATTATGAGCAGTAATTTATGCTCGAAACGTAATCAAGTAAATAATACTGTATCACTGTGCGCTATATATCAAACAAACAAATCTAATACGGAATTACATTCTACCACAGTGCCCAAGTTTTACACTTATATTAAAGAAATGGAAATAGTATTCAAAGAATATATGTCCAAACGTACATGTGCTTATTCTAGAGGATACTTTCATAGTTTAGTGATGAGATACAGCAGATGACGTGAAACGTATACGGATGTAATAAGACATTTTAAGAAGTGTTTTGTTTGACTAAGATGCGAATAGCTGAAAGGTGCTAATGGTAAGCGTTTTAAAGTTGTTGACATGAGGTGTTTTATAGAGCGAAGAAAAGGCAGAGAAAAAACAGGTGTATAGGGATTCAGAATATGCCTATGCGTACTGAATATTCATTTGGATTATGCTGGTCACAGAGTAGGGTATTTTGAACAAGGTGACCACATGTATTTCTTTAAAGTGCATCAGCCAAAATCCCTCACAGTTTCCTATGCCATCTGATGTGTTTAGGAAATGGAGATGTGTAAATTCTGACACATTATAGAAAACAGTTCATTTTGTCGAGAAGGTTTGGTTTGGCTGAATTTTTTACCTCATCTACTAGATGAAGTAAAATAATACTGCTGATTGACATAGTCGCTAGTCTTTCCAGCCATGATGTTGTACATTTACTGTAGTTCATAGTAAATCTCTCTAAGTAAAATTTATGTAACTTGATCTACAGGGGCGGTCAGACTCACATACACACTAAGGTCATCGTCGGAAAGGTACTCATGATTCGCTACATTATTACTGGTTCTTTTGAAAATCGGACATAATTTAATGGCAATAAAAGCCATCTGAATGGTTCTGCTAGGGCTGTATTTGAAGTGTAATCTTATATATAAGGCTTTACCTTCATGGATTTATCTTTATTCCCTCTGTCGGTTCACGTATGTACTTCCTCATGAATTCTTCAAATATCCATTTTGCACCAAAATACTTTTTCCATGTAACTTCCTCCTCTACAAACTCCCCATGGCACATAAATTTAATTTTATGACTTAGAAATTTTACTGTGTTTCGTTTACATTGGACTGAAGCAAAGGTTCTGAAATGAATGCAATTCAGTTCACAGGAGTACTTTCTGAGTAAATTCCCTTTCATATACTATTTAGCTTTCATGTAATGAGGACACTCATAAATGATGCATTGTTCATACAGTCTTTCTCACAGACCGCCTTCATAACTGCATTGACACTACTGATGATATTCTATAGCGGCTTCTTTTCGATGTCTTGTTGTGGACTCTGAAAGTATCGTCGTCACTCCAACAATAATATTAAAATTATTTGAGTGTTTTGTTACAACTGTCTGCAAACAAAGGGGGAAAAGACGAGCTCACTATGGTTACATCAAACAATCTAATAAATTTATTATTAAAAGTAGAGTAGACGTTCATCTTGTGATTTAGCAGTAATCTCTTAATTGTTTCTGACAATTAATTTCTCCCCGCATAAGTTGATTATAAGTTAACTAATTGCTTCAATATTTAAAAAATTAGTAAATAATGACGTTATTTCTGGTGATATTAATTTTCCCCCATACATCCATGTTTTGAACCTTTTTCTGAAAACTCAACACCTACCACACAGCGGATCTCATTAACTATCTATAAAGAGGAATTAGTGTTGACACTACCCATCCCTCTGTTGAAAAACGCAAGAAATTAGGCTTGTCTAGAGTTGAGAGTAGTAGTATTATAGGTGCAAGAGTTTAAGACAAACACTGAAGTCTAGGAACCTACGATCTCAAAGGTTTCAGTGTACAGGCTTTCCAGTTCATTAGCTTTATCTCACCTCTTCACAATGAAGGTTTTCATTACAATAAAAGTTTACATATTTACATATATTAAGAGGAGACTATGAAGAAAGAAGCAACAATTTCAGAGCAATTCTGATGAGAAGCAGATGTTGAATGAGACCAACCTCTAATAATTTTAAAGCGAAGGACATCATGGGACAGGCCTATCTATGTTTAGAGAAAGCTTTGTTGCTGAACATAGGATACAAAGATAAAACTGTTGTGGATGATCTCCAGAAGTGGTTCTGTAAAATCTTCGGTAAAACTTCTTAGATTGCTGGACTTCAATCGTTTGTCTGAGGTCGAAAATGATCCGCAATTATTTGTTGAACGACCTGATTTGTGTCATAATTCGTTTGATGGTTTGTTTTTTGTTATATAGTTGAGTGAATCAGTTTCATACTCTTTAAGATAACAAAAGACCTCTTGAACTTGGACCTCTTTTAAAAAGCATTTAAAAATGTTTGCGAAAATTTGTCAGATCGCTCACAAAGAGTGAGTATGAATCATTTCGACATAACCAAGGTTGTTCTAACGTCATTTATGCATTATAAGGAAGTGCAGGCAATCTTCATTTTAGCTGGATTACTCACAGAGAATGCTTAGTTTCAGATAGTTCTCTTATCAAAAAATTATATTTTGGTTCCAACGTTCGTGGGGATGTATTGATTTTAAAGTGGTACTCATCATGGACTGATATCGATTGAAGAACCATTGAAAACCTGAGGGTATTGGATATCTGGTTCATCATGGTATGAGACCACTCAGCAGTGCGCACCTATGATCACATCAGGAAGGGGGCCTAGGACCCTCAGATCTTGCGGAAAGTAAGCCACCATTGAACCACTGGGTTGAGACTCAACAGTTCACGTTTTCCTACTTCTGTTAATTCTCGATTTAAAGCAACCTATGAAAAACTTACCGTTTGGGAATTTGTTAAAGTGAGCTCGCCCTACCGGTCAAAGCTCTCCACTAGGACTTGAGTAAATCTTATCTCGTAGAATGTCACTAATAAAGAACTGGATAGCAATTCATTTCCTTTTGTGATCATGAGTGAGCATTGCTAAGGGGTCCCATACTTGGCTAGGACAACTGACTACTGTTCCTAAGTTCTCCATGGTTCTTCAACTGATGTCATTCTGTGATAAATACCACCATGAGGTCACATTTCATTTCCTAAGCCTTTTTTATTGCTGTATTTCAAAGTACTAGCTGCTCCACTTAACTTTTCATTTTATTCCTAAAATTACTACTTTCCGTCTTAAAGGTATCCTGCAAGTTCTTCGACATTCTACTATAACTTTACGCACACTGACCTTCATAAATGAGATTTTGAAGCAAAAAATGATGTGCTCCAAACACCTTAATTTCTCTAACAAATTCTGCGGTTACAATAACTATTTCAAAGATGACAGCGATAAGATATTACAAGCCTGGACGTTTAACACTAACTGTAAAATAATGACATCCAAGCCAGTATATGTTTTTTAAAGAAGTTTTGTCGTACTAAATACAGTACAGATGGTGTTGACCTCATGGAGAAAATTTTCACCAGTTAACCTCAGTGTTATCTAATAAACCCAGATGGTGTCTTACATATTGAACCAATTAGTTGGATAGCATAAATGGTCAAGTACCACAGTCTGAAAAGCTCGTAAGCTATTTTGAGGTAAGGGCCAAAATTCGATAGAAAATAATTCAGTGATAGCACAATACACTTTCGAATACTCAAAGAACGTTGACACATAACCGTTTGTCTGCTCCTGCAGCTGCTAACCACTTTATTACTCGCTGATAAAAGACCTACAGATTTCGACATTTTACTCACTAAAACTATCAACGATTCTACTCACCTCTATCCAACTTGTGTACCAGTCATAATTTCACAAAGCTTTAAACCTGTCATAATCTTTACTTATTGGTTACTAGTGTTTAGTTTTAAACAGTCAATGTTTCTTTGAGAAAATAACATTTTAATACTAAAAAACTTATTTGTCGCATTCTTTACTTTTTTTCATAATTAATCAAAATAAAACTAACCGGATCTATTCTATTGCACTCTTCCAATACGCGAATGGCTAAAGTTTCAAATTCTTCAACGTATGATTCATACATTAGTTTACCTTGTGTATCATATGTTGGTAATAATTTCATCATATTGGAGTATAGACAACAAGCAATTAAGGCAAGAACCAGTGCATCTTCACTACGTTCCCAAAAATACAAAGCCATTTCCTGACGTTGATAAAGTATAGCCCATATGAATAATTCCTTGATTAGGATAGAATAAATTATTTGAGTATTTTAGATACATATTGACCAACCAATGATTCTCTATCAAAAAACAATAAAGAGTAGTTTTAGACCATGAAATTAATTATCAACCCATTTGGTGAAATGTTTGAAGTTGAATGCAAACCTGAAGTATAACAGACTTTGAACCATCAGCTTCTGATTAACCAATCCAACAAACTGCTGACTACGATAAAACACCTAAGTGGTGAACAGGTCTGTGTTTGACAAGAATCACTGGTAGTTGTGTCCAGTGGTTACGCTATTGAATTCATTTCTTTTGAGTCTATCATTTAGTAAAAAAAATTGTTTATATTTGAAATATTGTGTTTACTTGATTGAACACAAGGTAAACAGTATAAATAATTTTAAAATTTCATATTCACTAGCGCTGTTTTGAAGCTGTGAACCGTTCAAGATTGCTACTTTAATTCTGAATCTTCATCTAATTTCCGGATATCTGAGATAGCCGTAGTTTGGCACACTAGTATTTATACTGGGTTATGATTGAAGGTGAGGTGGAAATCTGGATCGCAGCCAAATTCCAACCAGCGACCACCGGCTTATCGGCTTGATGCTTTACCAACTGAGCTACGAGGTCCGACTGTTGACCAGAATTTTATTTCACTTCAATCAACAAGGGTTTTGCCCGATTACCATGTGAATTCGTGACGCGTTACTACCACTTGATAGTATTCACACTGGCTACCTAGTCAGGACTTCTCAATTGTTGAAGTTATTCCCCTTTAATTCATTATTGATGCACCAGAACTGCAGATCATTGACACTAACAATGATTGACATACTGGTTGCCGCTTTGAACCCGGTAGCAATCCAAATTTTAATTTCACTTTCAATCACCAAGCAGCACCATCTCAGATAGTCAAATAATTTCTGAATGTAGTTCAAATAAAAATAGATGTTTACTCAGTCAAACTGTATATAAGTACTTGTATAAGTTTCATGTTCATCATGTTCACGACAGCAAGAAGAACAAGATTTGCAGAACGAAGTTATTTTATTTAACAGTCTACTGGGAGGCCACCATTTGGAAGTCGTCAGTTGGATGTACCTGAAACTCAGGGAGTGATGTTGTCCCCACTGAGACTGGAATCCCGTATACCGAAGTGTTATCTACAACGCCACTGGGGAAAGAGATCCACGACTCCTGCAATGGGTATCAGTTTTTGTTTTATTCACATTTGTAATTTAATGACTATTTAGCAGCAAGACATCGCTTTAGGAGACTACCTGCCAACACAGGTTAAGCGATTCGACCTGGTATAGCAACGGGGTATTACAAGTGTCAACAAAACAACGACTGATACCCGTTGCACATGTGGTGACTCTCCTGCTGCAGTAGTGTAGTAGCTAACGTTTTGGTGTATGAAGCGATCAGCAATGGGTTCAAGTCTCAGTAAAAATAAAATCACTAACTGAGGTTCAAGCACATTCAGCTGATGAGTCCCGAGCAGGACGAAACGCATGTCCAGGATTCAACTGCAGGTCACCAAAGTGACTACAATAAATTAAACATTCAGAAGTGTCAAAGCATTTGAATAGGAGCCCATTTGTTAACAGTGGTTGAACAATTAGCCCCGGTATAACAACGGGAAATTACTAGTGGTAGTAAAATGATAAGCTTGGTTTATTCCAAGATTTTTCTTTAGCCGCTGACAGCCTAAAAATATTCACAAAAATGATGAAATTACAATATGCAATTTTTTAAAGCAAAACTGAACATTTAAATTGTCTGAACTTTATGCTGAAAAGGGAAATTTGGAGGGTAATGCCACAATTATGAGTGACAACACAGTAAAACATCTTTTTATAAAGATTTAGAGAAAAACATCCAAAGTCTCAACAAACAGTGTATGACAAAATCTTTTCCTAGTTTTTTAATAAAAATCAAAAAATTGGTGAATATTACGTAAGAAGGCAAGTTGAGTAAACAGAACCAGATGGAACCAACGGATGAACACGGTATTTTGTAAAATGTCATGTTATTAAATCACAGAATTAGTAACAAGGCAAAGTCAGATGAACCGTAGTCTTCTTCCTTATGCAGAGGTCAAAGTGAATCCATTTGTTTTCAATCGGTCCAAAAAATGCAAGAGAGGATGTATTTATTTTTCCATCGATTACTTTAAAAACTGTTGACACATCCATTTCCAATCCTGTATCGATTAAATGTCGAGCGACTGCACTCATAACGATTGCTATCTTCTTCATTGAAGGATTTTTTGAATTTGTCTAGGTAATCGGATATAAAAAACCACCCTTCTGTCCTCTCAATATGCGTGCTTTAACAAACACTTATACATCCACGGGTCTAAACGGAGGCGACGTTGAACGTATACCTATTCACTTTCAGTTGAGACAAAGAACCAGTTGTGTTAAACATATGAAGAGATTAAGCTGCAGGATAGGTTCTAGCCAGGGCAATTCCTAACTTTTACACCTGATGTAGATTATCATTTCTCTTACACATCAGTTGAATTCAAACTGACTTCGCAAATGTATTACTAGTCTTCTTATTTGTGTTTCGTCTTCAACAGTGAGTGGCAAACTTCTTCTGGTTTCCATTGTCAGACAAATATCTTTCAAAGAAACGTTAACTCACCTTGTAATTTGTCGTCAAAAAACAGGTTTCTTTCTTAATCAAACGATGGACAGACATTGTTGTAATTTGAATACCTACCTATCCAAGTATTCTTGTGATTATTCACAAGAATACTTCTTGGGATTTCGTCGTCATTTTTTCTACTGACTGATAGATTCGGAATAATGAAATGGTCATGACGCTCATACTCCATTGCAAAGTTTAAATTATTATGAACTGAGTCAAAATTTCGAAATTTTTTTAAGATGTGGTCCATGTCTCAGCAAATTGCAAATGTATCGTACACAGATATCACATACACACACTCAAATGAATGTTTTATTCCATTTCCTTCTAAATCCGACATCAATATATCGGCAAGAATAGGTTCAATTAGCTGTTCCATAGCAACACCATCAGATAAAAGTGGAATTGGACATCTTTGTACATAATACCGGGAACCTTTGAACGACTTTTTGGGGAAGAAAGAAGAACTTAGACGGCTGATTTTGATCGCCTCACCAATCAGCTTGCTGGCTTGTTAGGTGGATATTTTACCAGTAACACTATCAGCCCTAATAAAGTATTTATCCGATGCCTTTTTATGTATACCATATTCAAAAGAAAACGTGATTCTCTGGGTTTCCGAAGGATAAAGGTTTCATAGTCAATAAACGATCGTTTCAGAAGATCTCTAAATTCTTTTGTTACCCTGTTCTCTAAAGCCAAAGCTATACCCTTCCGTATACTGTCAGGTACAAACCGAGGCTCATCTAGTTATCAATAGCTATTGTAAAACTTCGAAAATAACAACATATAGTGTTATGCATAATAGACATTATTGAACTTATAGCTGAATATGGTGTTTAATTTCCCTTTTGTGTAAATAATTTACTGCTTTCTCATATTCCAATGAATGATACAACATTCCTGCCGAAAATTACACTACTTACTTGATTTTCAGTATAAGTGCTTCACTCTGAATGTTGGGTCATAAGACCAAATAAACCATAAATTCCTAAACCACATTTTAATAATAGCACAGATAATAGTTATCGTCTGATTATAGCGACCATGAAGTTTTGCATATTAACGACTCATTTTTTTTCTACTGGAACATATAACGGAGATTTTAATGGCGTGAGAATCCCCGCGAAAGTAACTTTTTACTTTATGCCTTATTTACTTCTCAAAACAGAAAGGGGTCAAAGGATCGCTTGTTATCTTACGCTTCAGAATATACTAACTAGATAGCAACAGAAGTAATCAATATTCGACCACCTAACTTGATTTTAAGAAAATCAGGATCATGTATCGAAGTTAGGCGAATATCTGAATGTCATCATCCTCAAAAAGTAAGAAAAATCTCAATAAGCAATTATTAAGAAAGACTAAGAGACAAAAGAAATGCAATACCTAATTTCTGCACATTTTTATTGATGAGTGACATGTAACATCAGAAATTACTGAAAGTGTGTTCGATTTAGATTCACCCATTGGACGGTTAGTATCCAACTCCACTTTATACACACAAAAGTGCTAAAACGTTCTAGACGAAGATACAAGATAGCAAAAAAGTGAGCAAACAATAGCCATCACACCGATAAACCTGTATGCCCTCTACTGAATAATAATAATTATTATTATTATTAGTGTCAACTAACACTGCTGTGTAAAGTGCTATCATGTTTATACCGTTTGAATGCAACAGGGATTTTGTTCTGTTAGTTGCTTCAAGACAAAAGTTATAAAAATTTATCCAGAGGAATGTAGCCAACTAGACTGTCATCTGTAATTTACGGACGCACTAAAAGCATAAATCTATACTAAGGTTTCTGGTTCAGGTCACCTGGATTTCCAGTCTTCATTCACCTAGTTAAAGTGAATCATAAACAAACTTTATTTTAGTGAAACTGTTATAAAACAAGGTGTCTAAGTTGACCATAGTTTGCATAGTAAACGCATGTCAAACTTTCTGAGAACGAAAAAATATTTCTTTTAGCTAGAACTCATGAAATCCTTCTTTGTTAGTGGATAGATGAGGATGTAAGGACCAAGAGTAAATGGCAGGTTGTGTATTATTTTACGGGTTTTCAGAAATGTTTGTTATCAGGATATTGGAGTGAGTCTAGTTGCACAAATACCAACTATAGTTCTATGTTTTCTTGTTTCACATTGAGTTAAGCAGTAAGAAGCCCTCTTTTTCTTTGATTTTATACCGGCTGGCATTTAGGATCAGTGCCCTGATAATGCAATACACCAGAATTTTATGCCAGACAGTTAACTGATTTTAATGCACACTTGTTCCATAGACTTCGGTTAGTACCAAAGAATTGACAGCCGTATAGAGAAAATTCATTTATACTATAATTTTCAATAGTGGTAACCGAATTTTTACATAAAATAGCTTTGATTTATGCCCAACACTGAATACATCGCCAAGTTATGAAACCATGATTCTGCCACATTAAGAAAAAGCATCAACTACATTTAACTCACTTGAAATGGTGAGACAAACGTAAGCCTACATACTCTATCCCAATCAAATCTTTGACTGTGTAACAGCTAAAAGGGAAAGAAAACAGAATTACATAACCTTCATTCAGTAAAGAGATCTCAAATAATAAAAGTTCATATCAATAATATAGCACGGTTTCTATGAGAACTATGATGACTGCTGTGGAGTGTTAAATGAAATCTTTTAACTCGTTTTTAAGATTGACACGAAGAAATCAAAACAAGAATCAATTTTCTTAGGCTACCACATATAAATGAAACAAGTGTATTTATGCTTCCATTGTGGTGGTGGTGGACGTTCTGACTTGAGTTATAGTCGATTCGTTCGCAGATTAGGCTCGCGTGGTTCGTAGCCTGCTAGGCTCGGGTCGCTCATAAACCCTTAGGTAGTACTACCCGTCAAAGCAAGTTGGTGACGGGTGTATTTTGAATCAGAGACATCACGCTTGCAAAAATTGATGAAGCAGCATTCTAAGATGATGAAGTTATTTGCTGGCTTGCAGATATCCTCCACAGTCTATTCATCCCAATCACTGAAAATGTCAGTAGCAGCATCTTCGAACTCGTCTATGACCCAGATTCAAATATAACGTCCGATAAATGGTTTTGCAGATATGAAGACTTGTTCAAAGAAGTCTTCGCAAACAGAGATTATTCATGGAAGGCCAGACTGCTGCTTCTGAAGTTGGGTGTAAGCCAATTACAGAAATATTGCAATTCGATCCTGCTGCAGAAACCTAGTAATAGAACATTTGACGAGACCGTCCAGACACTTAGTCATCAGTTTGATGACCACAGGTCATTGTTTAACATAAGCTTCCACTGAATCAAGCTGGTATTGAACGAAAACGACGATATTTACATACAGTTAGGAGAATAGTCAACCACACCTGTGAACGTTCTAAGTTGACATCTTTGACAGAAGATCAGTTCAAAGTCTTAATCTTCATTTGCAGGCTACAATTCACACAGTTTGCTGATATACAAACACGCCTGTTAAACAGATTAGAGCGGGACCCACAAGTGATACTGAAAGAAATCGGATAAGAGTATCTGCGAATAACCAACCTTCGTGAAGATACCACCTTGCTTCAGTCCGGCGGTCAGAGTGCAGCAGAAGTATATGCAGTGCATCCAGTACCGTCGACGTAGAACTCACCGCACCAGAAACCGCCAACAGTATTCTGGCACTGCGTGAAACCCTGCTCGCTCAAACACCGTAAACGTCGACGGTACCAAACTGTTGGATACAAAGATGAGTAGTGCAAACAGAATAGCCGACCAAAGTCCAGAAGCCAATCTCACAGACTTCTAATGTCAATGTCTTTGAGTATTACAGCCAGTTACAACACCAACACTCACGCGCCACGGAAATACATTGATGTCATGATCAACTCCCAGCCTACACGTCTTCAAACAGACACGTAATCAGACTTAACAACAATATCGGAGAATCCATGACAAAAACTGGGAAGAGCCACCATATAGAAGACAAATCAAATAGCAGTCAGTGCTTGTGGTGGAAAACTTCGTTTAAGTGGGCAATCAGAGTGTAATGTCAGTTCCCGTGAAACCCAGTTCATTGGTACATGCTATGTAAATAACTCAAACCCAGATTTGGTGGGTTTGTGCTGGTTTGAAGAATTACGGCTTGCGGAAATCCTTCTAAAAAGAATATGCTACAGAGTCGAAGCTATAGGCAACTAACTTTTGTCAAACGAAGAAACGGTTATTGCGGGTGTGAGAACAGAATGAAAGGTTCAGAATTTGTTAATATGCTCTATCAAGCAGGTAACCGTCATGGCAGAACAAAAAAGACTAGCCACAAGAATAGATGAAACTTTATAACAAGCTATGAGGTTCGTCCAAAACTTTTGGCCAGCATCACTGTCAAACTAGGACTTCGAACAATGATTTCGCTGTCGATACGGTCTCAGCATCGTTAATGAGTCCCTAATGTTCGGAGACCGAGTGGTTATACCGCACACCTTGCGTTAAACAGCCCTGAAACAGTTTCTTAACGGACACTCAGGTAGTGCGCACATGAAGTCTGTTGCCAGAAGTTATGCATACTGGCTAAGTACGGGCGCCGATATAACAGACTTCGTTAACTGATGCCAGCCCCTCCATTACAACTATGGTCTCAACTACACCTACATTTTGCTGGGCTGGTAGATGGTGTGTATTACTTGGTTCTTGTGGACGCCTATTCAAAGTGTTCCGAGGTTGTTCTGATTACCCCATCTTCCAGCAATTGAACAATAGCAGCCCTCACTAAACATTTTCATGTGCCCTGGCATTTCAGAACACATTGTATCTAAAAATGGTAGCCAACTCATGTCTCAAGTATTTCAAGATTTCTGTAAAAGAAATGGTATGCAACACGTACGGACGCCACCATACAAACCTCAGTCCAACAGCCGAGAGGAGCGATTTGTGGACACCTTTCAAAGAATTCTACTGAAGGCAGGGTAAGAGGTTACAGCACTTCATTTTTGCATACCACACCACGCCACTGGCAGAGTACAGAAAAAGCCCAACTGTGCTTTAATGGGACGCATGCTTGGTACTCATCATCATTCCATGTTGCCATCTTCACCAGTCCAACAGAAAAATACGATGCGATATTTTCACAAGGGATAACTGGGCTGCGCTCGCAACTACCGACCTAGAAGAAAAAATGGGCAGAAGGTCCTATTGAAGGTCAACGAGAAACTCTGATGCCCGAGGTCAAAGTGGGGCATGAAAGATAGATGAGACTCAAAAATCGGATATAACATCGCCACACCACGTCCTAAGAGACCGAGATATCGTTGGATCTGCTTCGTGAAACCTTTAAACTACCTCCAGTCGATGAAGGATCAACTTCAGGGAAGCCAAAGGACAAAAGGGACTTATTACGCAGGTGCAAAAGAACTCGAAAGGTACACTTCCGAATTGGCCAGGAAAAACAGAGGTACTAAATTTTGTTGTTACACGTGTACATTTTTTTGAAGGGGGAGGTGCTGTATACCCCTAATTTTGGATAGCTTTTGTCTCCTGTTATGCCTATAACCTTGAAATAACCTACATGGCCATTTTCTCACCGTTACTAGTATTTCTCTCCTCTGCTCTCAAGACTGAACCTTAATTGGTTGTTAACTATTTTTACCTAGACTTGGATTCAGAGTTGTCTAGGTCATTCAGAAATGTATATATTAAGCATCGCTGTCAACTGCATTGACTTTTGTTGAGACAGTAAGAGTTCTCTGTCAACGGCCTGTCTTTTCTGATTGTCTTCGCACGTCGGTGGTATTGTAATGGTGGTGGTTGACGTTCTGACTTGAGTTAGAGTGAATTTGTTTACGCATTAAGCTCGTGTCATTCGTAGTCTGCTAGGCTCGTATCACTCCTAGACAGTTAGGTTGTACTGCCAGTCATAGCAGCTCCAAATTTGAATAAACGCCGTTGCATGCCAGAAACAAACTAATCAAACCATCTGGCATTTCATTTGGCCAATCATGAGATTGTTAGTCAGATATTCTCTAAAATATTTATACACGTCTTTTGCGTCATCAAAGCATTCTCGCAGCCAAAGAACATAACTTTTTTTATATTCCGGGGACTCTATAAATAATTATATGCTAAGAGAACAACCTTACTGCCAAAACTTTGAATATTTTAACGAATTTTTATGATTAAATCTTTATCCACTAGTATGTTTAAATATTTTCGAACATAATTCTGTTCTTCAATAAAAAGTGGAGGTAAATGACTATAAGATTTGAAATATGATTCACATTTACTGAATTAATTACTGTGAATGATAAAAATAAATAAACCAATCTGTCGTCGAATAATATAAATTTTCATCCCTTTAGTTCACTTCAGATGTTCGTCTCTTTCGACTTGAATGAATAAAGGATTACTTTTTTTGAGTCTCGATGAGTAGTGCAGGCTGAATTTTCCAATAGTGTATAAGTTTTTATAAAGCTAAGAAAAAATATTGCTGACCTTTGTCAAACGGTGAAAAAACAGACCTAGATTTTTATCTTGTACACCTAATCTGAGTTAAATTAAGAAGTACGACTGTTCTTACTTTTTCATCAGTTATGACTTTGCTCAAAAGATTTCACTAAAGTATACAAATATAAGTTTTGTCCCGTTCGAAACTTATTAACTCAATTTGCATACATCTTGTCTTTGAAATTATATTCTTGATGAAAATACTCTTAACTAATTTAAACGTCAAGTAATTTTTACCCAACTTCTTTGTGACAGATAAGTTTCTATTATGGTTCATTATTGCATGTTAATTATCTCTTGGACTAAACTGACTAGTCATAGAAGACAAACAATTAAACTATACTCACTGATTCAAGTTAAATGAACTTGTCAATTAACAACTACTTGTGAAATGTAAGATAGGTAATATAATTTAAGACTAAAAAATCTAGGTAAATATCATACATTCCAAATGAATTGATGAAGTTAAGTATTTCGAACTATGTATAACTATCATTTTGACAAATGATTTTATGTAGGTGTAGTGTTCACTGAATACGAAAAAGTTTTAAATATCCACATGCATTAAAATACACATACCACAGTATCTAAATCATATATTCTGTTGGTATATCGTCCCAACATACGACGCAACAATTTGCATATAGTAGACAGATAAATTCGACTATTTCGTGAAAACATACTACCAGTATCCTCAATCTTTTGCTTAGTCAAACCACCAGATAATTCAACATGCATGTTGGATAATAAAGGATGTTCATGATTTAATAAGTCATAATTTTTCAGACATTTTATAAAATCATTTGATCGTGTTGATTCATTGTATAAACGATGTAATCGTTCAAATGTTAGAAATCGGCGCATCACAACACCATTTTGTAGGAGAATCCTCACGAAGTCTGTATTATTTCTCAATAAAGCTTTCATCATAATTGGTTCTAAGATATCTAAAGTTTAAAAAAAATTTAATCTTTTGTAGATAATTTATTCACCTGTGAAATAATTTTACATTTTAAGTGTCACATAGATAAATATACAAACTTGCAACTTTGAGTAAGCTCACTGACCTAATCTGAAGTTATCCACCACTAATCGAAGTGTTTGGAGATCAGGTATTTAAACTTGAAGTTAACCACAATAGTTTCCCTACGGGATAACAACAACATGGAATGTCAAATGGGTGATTTAGACCAGAAGCAAGTAGACGCAAAGTAACTAGGTGTGACTAAATTCTTGTGAAGAATAACAGAGCAATTAAATAAGTGATCACATGCAAAGTACTGCTATTTTAAAAACGTCCAGTTTAAAAAAACAACAAAGATGAAATTTCTGGTTGGTATTGAATATTGTTACGCCAATAATCTTACATGTCACCTGCAAAGTGCAATGTATTTGTAAACAACGGCTTATCTTTAACCACATAATTAAGAATTACGGCTTTATGCTGATGAAGTTATAAGGAAACCTGAGTCAAAACAGTTAAAGAAGTGGTTTCCATTAAAATTTAGAGTCCTAAAAAATTTTACCATCAAGCTATCAATTTTTTTTACTTTATTCTCTTTAATTCGGAATAAGTGGCATGATCAGACATAATACATTGGACACATTCGCCTGTTCAATTCAACTATTTCATCATGTGTAAATTCCTTCTCAAAGGTAACATTTATCACATGAGTTCACACAAACAAAACGCTAGTGATCTCAGTTAGTCTAAATCAGTCAATGTATATAAGAAAATACGTGCACCGCTGTTATTGTCAAGTTGTAAAGGAATGTGAAGTGCTAGATACTCGGTTATAGCTATTCATCATCTGATTACCGTCATTTTTCATTCATCGTCTTATAGCCCATAGTACAGTAAAGTGTCTTTCATTTAAATGGTATCCAGACATATTTTTTAGCTTTTGAAGTAGCACTGGGCAGTTCAGATACAACAAATCCAAAAGAACTGATTAACTGCTACCGATTCATTTATTTATTCATCAACTTTTCTAGATAAACTTCTTCTTTTAATGCCACAGTTTTTACTTACAATCCCTAACATCTATCTTACAACTTAAAACTGTTGATTGACTTCTGGACACTGTATTAACGCGTATTACAACTTCCTCATGCCTGTTATTCAGGCAGTCTGGTTTGTAATTTGATGATGAGAAAACAATGAAATTATTATTATTCTACTGAAGTGTTAATCTTTTGATGTACAGTGTGTAATCACATTTTTCCAGAAAATACGTTCCGCTTAATAGTGTGCAAAACCCTGTATGTTTGTAGTTGGGTCACTTTTATCAATTTCTTAGAAACCGCGTGAATCTATCCTTTAACTTGTGTGCTAGAATAAAACGCGATAACAATAATCATACATCATATATATTGGCTAGATAATGCCTAAACTTATCCGATTACTGAATTTTGTATTCACTGTAATATCTGAAGAAAGACCTTGAGAAGAGAATAAGCCTAAAATCATAAACGGGAGAACAAACAAACCGTGAAGATCAAATTGAAAACATTCAGCTGCTAAAATGATAATGTTCATGTAATCAATCAGTCAGTAAAGGTGACTGGTTCAAATATCAATTCCCAGATGAAGCTGAACGTGTATCTACCACATCAGTAACATTTTTGTTCTGTTAAGTGATATCAGACTGCCACAGTGTATTAAAACTTGAAATTTATCAGATTCATGTTTATGTCTTTCATAATCTTATATACAGTCAGTATTTTCCATTTACTTATGAAATATTTACTAACCTGGATTTACTTGTTTCCCTTGACGAAATATTTTTGCTTCAGCAATATCACTTCTGTCCCAGGTTAACGCCAATTCTAACTGTTTATCCAATTCGGAAGAAGTTTTAATCAGAGCGAAGAGAATAGCCAAATCTAAATCATCTGATTTATTCATATCGAATGTTGTAATCAGTTTTGTATCTTTTACAATGACTTCAATCATTTTTAGAGCAGCATCAACTTTATTTCTGCCAGAAACCGGTTTTATCTTTTGACTTAAAAGTAAGACTTCTCTCTCAGAAAATGATGTGAACTGACTGTTCATCGAGAATTTTTAGTTGTTTAATTTATCCAGACAAAAAAACAGAGAAAGGAGAAATTATAAAATAAAAAAGCAAAATAATGTGATACACTGATGTTTGAAATAAATGGAAACTGGGTTCAAACTTTATCAGGAGCACAATGACAAACATGAACCCATCCGGTTTTAGACTCAAGAATAGGATAAATATGTGTTTAATATCTCAATATTATCCAATATACTGGGTAAAAACAAAAGTTAATACCCTTGTTTCACCAAATTTCTTTGTTCATAAATCATTTCCTTGAATTAGATACGATATCGTACGGTTGATAAGTTCAAAACCAAATATGAATAAGAGGCAGGGAGAACATGTCCTAAGCAGATATTCATGTTCAGAATGACACAAACTATACTCAGACTTGTTTTAAAGGGCTTACTCTAGCAATAATTTAGTAACAAATGCATCGAACTTGGTTTCAGAGCTTAACTCACCAGTGGAGCTTTAATTTGATAAAAAGCTATTTTTAAACACATGAAGATGATCTAAACTTCTTAATAGATAATGCCTCGACAAAACTGAGGGATCATCCAGAAGACGTTTTGTAAATAAGTCTAATGTATGTAGAAGAATCAATCCTTTGACAGTCTCAATTGTATGTTTCACAATCGAAAAGCTTGGACACCTGCTACCAACATTTGTGATTTCATGTTATTTGACCTTCTATTGAAGCCACTTTGAAAAATGTTGTAAGAGTCTTGCTGCTATGAGTCTTGTCTATGTGAATGTGTCATCACGCATACATTTAAACTGAAAAATGCAGTTGGATGTGACATTTTCATACACATACTGTAAGGATTTAGGACGGCATACAGGCTTAGTAGTTTCTATTAACCGGACTATAAACATATATTATCCCTTACTAACAGTAGCATTAAATCTATGCCTAGGGACCGCACCATAAGAGTTACGTTTATAAGAAAGCCTTGTGGAAGCTTCTTTTCTGAGATGAATTTTCAAATCATACATTCCATGTGATAGTTTACATGGACAAATGGCTAAGCAAACTAAGCAACCTTAACGGGCTTTAATCTTGCAACCAAATATTTAAAACAACCATTTGTTAACTGCAATAATTATCTTCGTAGGTGAACAATACTAATTTCACTTATTAACTTGAGACGATTTACTGTGTACATGAACTGGTTAAACGATGGTAATCAATGCCGCTACCAAGTATCAAGAGTTAGTTGAAAACTGTCGATCAAGTTTCCACTGAAGCCACCAAGCTGTTTGATACAACAACGGGGTGCACTCTTCTTATTTTAAACGTTAATAGTCAACCATTGCAACTGAAATAATCGAGTTGTCAACCCTTTGATCTTAGAACTAAGTAGCTCAGGTATGAATATTCGAGAGACAGCTTATTTGTACATGATCGACGATAACTACCAACAAAACTCAAAGACCAGTTGAACAAGGGAATCCTGTCTATCGACTCCTATCATGTAACACAGTTAGAAGTCTTAAGAACTATTCCTAGAATTATAATAAAAACAACCAAATTCAAAATGAAAATTAAAGAAAGCTTCACTAAATGGTATCGGAAGTGCATCACAACTAATATTAAGAAGATAATGAATTACTTTAAACCTAACTAGCAACCCGTTAGAATTTTCAAGAAGGTTAAGCGCTCATTAGGGTCACGTTATACCATATTTCATGTCAAAACGAAGCGAGGAACACTGGTCTATAGAAGACATCTTCGTACATGAAGTAAAAGGACAGAGAAGATGACTTCCACTCATTTCATTTAGCATAACCCTATGACTGAAGACTTGAAGCAAAACAAAGTCTTTGTTGCTATGATTTTCAAGTACCCCATGGATATGGGACATGAAGTTGATGTCTTCTGGGTGCTCAAAACACCAAAAGTAGAGAAAATGCTACAGCTATCTTTTTTCATGAAATCAACTGCAATGAAAGCTTTTTAAGCCGGCACTTGTATAATCTTTTACTCTACTTTCCTACTGATTTAACTTCAAGAAGTTCATTGCAGTCGTATATAGTTCAATCCCTTCATATATTAATTACTGTTCTTATCACTTTAGTAGTTGTTTCTTTAGTCGCATTCACTTCTCACTATTTATAACTCTTCAAGCGTATGAGTAGCAAGATGCAAATTAGCGGTGATAGCAAACTACAGCTTGTGACTTACGTTTTTTAAGCATTCTTGATTCCCTAATTTAAAAAAACTTCATTTACAGATGCTCACTCTTGTGTAGTAACTTTCATAAGAATTTTTGGTCTGAAAATAGCTGCAGTTTTAGGCTGCAGCTGACAAATTTCCCTGAGTACAATAAGATGTTTTATTCAAAAAGTTTATCCTTCTTGGTTTGTTAAACTTTATTATGCAAACTAAGTAGATTAGTCTTCCAATTACTTCTACACTTCACTTGTCTATACTGATATAGCTATTTATATTTTATTTTAGGCATAGCACCAATAAACCTGAAACAACAAGATTTTGAGTTTCATAATCCTTTTTAAATTTATTGCCTTCAAAATGATACCGTAAAAATTGGAGAAGAGAATTATTGAAAAAAGGTAACAGCAATGTTCTATCATGCTAAGGATTCTGATAGCTTATCAGTTAAATAAACTTTTCAATGAGCATGCGTTTATCTGCTGACTTCCTGCCAGAGAAGTAACAATACAAGGTGCAACACTCCTAAAAAATGAAACTTAAAATATATGCTTCAGTTTCTTTACTGTATGAAGTAGTTTGGTCTGAAAAAAGCCATTATTTGACTAAGTAGCACCATAAACGTTGACCTCTAAAAACACAAAACACCAATATAGTGTAAATGAGTTGAAGATTTTTAACACTTTTTCATAGAACAGGTAATATGGTGTTACATTTTGAATATTGGCTTCCTTTATAGGCATACTTTATTCGGGATAAAATAGTAATCCGAGGTAAGTTGTGGTTTCAGCACGTGCATCCAATATATAATTCATCTAGTCGACTGACATTTATAGCCTTGCTGATAGATTAACCTCTTCTGCTTGAGTGTTTTGCATCTAGCCTGTGAATTGCTCACATGCAGACTCCATAACCCATGAGCAGTGTCACGATATTTATCAAACACCTGGGGCTCTTTTTTAATCTCATCTATAATAGCTATATTCTAAAGTTGCAAAGGAGAACATTAGTATCAGGTAACAAAATCCAAATATATCACTATTGTTATTGAACACTAAGAATAACCATTATATATTTGACCGCATAACTTATGGTTATCATATTCATATAAAAATCAGCACTCGTATTATTGAATACAGCTGAGATAAACTAACAACTAAGTCAGACTTTGAAAAACAACTAACCTTTGTTTTAGTCGAAAGTTAAATGCCATATCTAAGATATCAGCTGCTCTTCCGGTACCAGAACATATTACAACGGGTACTCTTTCTTTTATACTATTTCTTGCATCAATGAATACATCATGGCCTCCCTCGACAATAACAAGGACAACTGGAATGCCAAAACCACCCTCTAAAACCAATAACAACAGTTATGTAATAATTATTCTTAAGCAAAAATGGTTAGTAGGCATATGTTTACATTCATTATTATCTGTTCTCTCTTAAAAAATATATCACCATATTTGCAACTTGAGCTCATATGTTTCTAAGGTTTTCTTGGTGAAAGGGTGACTGAGAAATAATGTAAGTGGCATTCATTTAAATTCTAGTTATCCTAACCAAACATCAGCTACGAAGAATGGAACTTAATGAGATCTGTCCCCAGTTAATTCGTTAAGATTATTTTATTGATACCTTACCGCCACTGTTATATGAATTTTGAGAATATAAACTGCATCACAAAATCTGCTTACCTTCCGCTGGAAGTGCAATCTGTTTCTCTAAACGTGCACGAAACCGAGCTGATTCAGAACCTCCATATCTTAAGCGTTTACCTTCATCCACAAAAATGTAATGAGTATGATTCTGATTCAGAGAAACTGGACGTCCTGTTTCAATAACCGTAGACACTGTATAGGGCTGTGGATGATTATGATCCTAAAATTAAAATGTAATCCAGATTTGAAGAGAGTCATTTTCATATCAATGAAGTAAAACTGGATGAAAGAGACCACTGAAACTTGTTTACAAGGTAATAAATGAAAGGTAGTACTTTTCAGCATACTGATAGCATCTTGCATATTTTAAAAGAAAATTTGAAATAAAATTGCAAAACGTTTTGTCCAACGGTGTGTTCTATGGACTTTTTGAATAAATATATCATCGTGACTAAGAATGGAACCATCAGTCTTCAGAAATACAATTAGGTAAAGTCTTCCAAACTATAAAAATGAAGTGGATTTATTATAGTCTTAGACTCAATTCATTTAGTGAATCGAACCAAAGTGTTAATCTGAATGAACTTTTTCCTGGAAGTTTTTGTAATGATTTCAGTTTCTTATCATCAGCTCATGAAAGCAACAACATTTTATATGAGCCAAATATAGCTTTCTGCTGTCAGATGCTGGGTACCACAGTGTAAAAAAATTTACTATTAGATGGGGTAGGAGAAACTTTTCAAATAAATATATTTGACTCAGTTACACTAGATTGAGAACACTATTCATATCGGCCGTCTCGCACTTGTGAAAGAAAATTCCCCCAGGCGATTTGTTTACCTGGATATCTTCAACAAAAAAGATGCGTGGTTTCAAGATGATTGACTTATGTAATACGCTGTGGAATAATCAGCTAACTGTTTTATTCAATAGAAATGCATTCAGTTTTCGTGTTTGAAGTCAGTGTTCATAAAAGTCGGATTTATCAAATTCATCCAAAACATGAAACGTTGACATTTCTTGTTAAAATAATACCACAGCAAATCACTTAACATTAGCGACATCGATTGCTTGATGAAGAAAACCTAAAAGGTCTCCTGAAATTCAACCATGAAACCAGGAATAACAGATACGTAAAAGTAATGAAAAATTTATCGGAGTAATGCTCAGAGATACGTTTAGAAAGTTTACTACAAACTATTTAACCAGCTATACAAGAGCAAGTAAATTTTTAGACACACACTGAAGTAGCTCAAAACAGCAACTTATCCAGAAACCAACTATTGGCTCAAAAAGCTGGTCTGTAGCTTTGCACGAAAAAATACTTTCCTCTCTAAAAAGCTACAAACAAGCTTTTCAGTTAAGAACTGGTTCTTGTGTATGTTCAGCACAAGTTGCCGCTTCGAGCCACTTCATCGTGTTTACATATTTCTCAGTACTGTTGTTCTATGGAAGACATAACTTCTGTAAATAAGTAATAGTAAACATTTATAATATAATAATGAACTGATCACTAAACAACTTAAACAGTGCTTCAATACAGTGAGATAAATTCGAAGAAGAATGATTTTTGAGACATTTAGATCCATAAGGCTGTTTAGGTAACCATACCTCCTCAGATAAATAGTTTCAAATAAATTTTTCAGTCAGTATATAGTTCACAATTTTAAAATATTTGTTCAACGTAGGGTGAAATAACTTCCACAATATGACGAAAATTTAATTATAGGATGATGAATAATGTCAAGTAGGAGAGTTCGTGAACGAAATGGATTGTTCATGGTGTCAAATATGCGTTAAGACGTTGTTTTCGTAGATTGTGATTTCTCTAATTACTGTTAAGCTCTCAGAAGTAACATAAGTGCCTGTCGTTTCAGTTGTAAAAATGCTGCAAAATCATTTTAAATCAATACTATATGCACTGACGAGAAAGGTTATAAAAAGTGATAACTGCTTAATACCACCTTCCCTAATACTCACCTCAAATTCCTTACTGACAAGAGTATTCCGGTTCAATACATAACCCCAAGGAGCGATCCCAATACACCGTAATTGTTGAGATAACTTTCTTTTATCCACACAAAATGCCTGCTCTTGCAATGCATCACCAACCACCCGTATTATTCCTAAATTCAAACCTGACGTTACAATCCAAGCTTGAGTAGTTTGTGCTGCTTGAACTAAACCCTTTTCAGAATGAAAAAATAGATAAAAATGAATCGTTAACATGCTTCCACTTATGATTATTTCAGGAGATAAAGCTTTGACAGTCAAACTTTGTTTTAGCAGTGTAATTCATTTTAATAAAGAAAAAAATTTTTTCACTGAGAAAAATCTAATAATATTTGAATTTTTGACTTATAACATTAACATGGATGTTAAATCTTAACCTTACTGGTAAACCTCAATGATTACTAAGTTTCACATCTGTCGAATGCTTCTTTTTTAGCTATCGGCATGTTCATACAAGATAATTCAACCTTTCTCTTGAGAACATACATCAGGAAGTGATAGGATATATCAGTGAATGAGTTCGTTTTCAGTTTCATCCCCCTGAAACTTACTCTGAATAAAAGTATCTCATATTATTTTCATAAAATATGCGTAAAAGTCGAGTGATAATCTGGTTTGACAAATGAGGTGAAAGAGTACGGATTTTGTTGAATATTTTGGGCCTTGTCAATCACATGACCAATATAAACTAGATAAGACGAAAGTGGGACGCGCCAAATACCTTTTGCATCGTTAAGCTGCTTCCTACTTATTGCAAATTCAAACTTCAGAGATTAAAAGACTTTGCACATAATGGTCGGAAAAATGAAAGATGCTAAATTTGTATAAACTCATACCATCTGCTAGTCCCACTGGCAAACACAGTCAAGCTGGATACATACCTTCATAAAAAAATATGATATTGACCTGCAAGTAATCTGGAGGTTCATACACGATGAATCTTAAAATACATGACTCTCAATGGTTTATACTCTGAAAATAACAATCCTAACAGTATCTTATTCGCTTGACTTCAGTTAAAGAAGATTAGGAAAAAGTAAACTTTGCAGAATTGCATTAGCTTCCTATTGAAATTTAAGGCAACAATGGTAACTGCTAGAACGAATAAACTTTCAAATTCACCATTACTTTTGTCTCGCTTTTTATGAACTGGAACCTAGAACCTGAAACGCATTTTGGTTAAATATGTCCAGGGAATTTTTTCCATTGAAAAAACACCTACTTCAAAATAATACTTGAATAAAACAACTGTGGCTACGAACAAGCAAATAAACCTAATAGTTTGGTAATTCTCCCAGAATTTCTGATTGCGTCATGTCTTCCGGTGATGTCGTCAACTAATTGCATTCACATCACTTGTAAGCAACAGATTTTTGATACAAATGGAGTGAATAGCCTTAGTCGAGAGGACACTACTAAAGACATAATGCTATTTTAGATGATCCATGAAAATAGATAAAGGTGTTTTATCTGATTTTGAATTCAAGACCATAGACCTTAGAAATATCAACGTTTTAAACAATGATCATGTTATACGTGAACTGCCTAAAGCTTTTACAAATTTTTATTTGCTTCAACTTTCGACAGCCTATTCTGGTGATCAACCCAAAGTTGGATGATGTGAAAATGATCATTTACTTTGCAATAACATGCCTTTATAAAGTAGGCTTGGTAAGAAGATTTACTGAATGAACAGTGTGTGCTTTATATAAGACCGTAAAATTCAACCATAATAATAGCCACTAAAGTAGGCATCTGTTTACTAATTTACAAACCTATTCCACACTTCTCTAAGGTCAATGATATTCTTTTGTTTCATAAACTTCAGGATCAAAATTTGATTTGATATTTAAAACAGTCGATAACTTGTACAGGTTTTATTCTCTATAGAAGCGATTTTCAAGAAGCTGTGAAACGTCAAAAATTTATTTTTCTACCCCACTAGGACTTTAAAAATATATTTCACTCATGTTTTTGGATTCTACATGAAAGGTTTAAAAGACAAATTCCATCTACTATTTCTTAATTATTCTTTATGCAAAACATTCTGATCTATTAGTCATGATTTTCTTGTTTCTTTTTAAATAATTCCTTAATGTTTTTCCAGTGATGAATAATTTTGGCTTGCTTGGTACTGAGAGTTATTTCGCTTAAATAGTTAAGTTATATTTCACATAGAAAAGTAGTAGTTTCACCGTTTACTCTACTGAAAGTTCATTTCAAATACAAACACAAATCCACTTCATCTTGGTTATTTCGGGCTAAAATCTAGTTCGACTCCAAGTCTTGCTTATAGTCATCAACCATTAATGAATATAAGAATTTAGTAAGATTAAAATTTGCATAAGTTCATCTTAAAACATTTGATGGACAAGGTGTTATGTAGACCAGATGGGTACTTGGAGTTCACGGCAATTTTAGAGTCCATTATAAATAATTTATACCAGCAAACCAAAAATTTCCTATTGCAAGTCTGTGAAATACTGCATATTATTTGACAAGTTTTAGATTTCACTTCTAGTTAGAACACTAACACTCCAGGAAGAACATACTAGATGCGAGCCAACCTCAATATGAGTCTTTAATTTCAATGATATCATCCGCGAAATAAGGGCGTTAACAAGAAATAAAACTTGAATCAAATATAGGTATATAGCTTACTGAGTGAAACAATCAGAAAGAACTTATCTACTTTATACACAGAAAACTATCTCACGATGACCGTGACAGAGAATGAGACTCTTCACACTTTTTCTGAATGCATAATGATGGTTTGAATTTTTGAATAGTCAATGCTTCAACTATGTCCAAATTTCTTAACCTCACCCCTTTTAAGTGGCTTGGTTGTACTTTGTTCGAAATTTTTAGGACTTTTTTAAAAGAGCAGAACGTCCTGAGTTTACTCGGTGTTCTGTCACAGAACTAATGATGCATTTCCGTTCTCCCTTTGTCAGCTAAGATTGATGCTCTTCACGAACGCGTTGCATCAGCTGGCGCATGACACAACCGGTGTACTTGGCTGGACAGGAGCAGGTAAACTGACATACTTACAAAGATGTGACCCAATGCTCCAGCTTATCCTTCGAGTACTACAGAATGAGTTTTTGACAGGATAATCTGGTTCTAAGGTGTATGTTAGTAGTATGTACTAACTATTTCTTCGCGGTGGCCATCTTAAGTTATCGATCACTCTACATAACCCACATATCATGTGTTTGTCTTTATTTTGTAATGGATTAGATAAATTATGAGCGGAATATATTTCTAAAATCTCAGCTTGGTAGTAAAATTAATTTCTGACGTTTCACGTCTACAGCCTATTAAATTCTATCAGATCGAATTTTGATCTTCAAGTCTACACAATAAGCTACGCAGTATAACCGACTGACAACAGTATATAGGATATAAAAAGTTATCAACTTATGATACAATTAGGTAACCATAACAAGATTTTCCTACAGAGTAGAAAACTTCTTTCTTGTGTCCTTCAAGCACAAAATTTTTTGCACCTCCAATAACTGATATACATAGACTTGGTTTCTCTGGCTCCATCATTTTCCAATGATTTTTCATCAGTGTCATTACATCTTCTAGCTTATCTTCATCTGAGATACGTACGAACTAAAAAGGAATTTAAAAAATAATTGAAATATTCATATTACATAAAAACCAAATTGATGTTTTTGACAGAAATAAACTAACCTAATAAGCTTAATCACAGCTTATTACCTCAACACGTCATTCTAGACTAAAACCAAAACAAGTCAGTACATTTTAGCATCAGATGATGGGAGCTAATCGATGGGAATCCCTGGAAACATGTTGCTTGCTTCCTGACATTCATAATGAAGGCGAATCGTAGACCATGAAGAAACTACTGTCTCATCGATTATTGTAGCCTGCATCGCTCACTACTGAAGACATAGGCAACCACTGAGTTATTGTGGCCGTGACTGACCTCATATAAGACCATGTGCGTAAACTGGTCACCAGTAAGTAACCGATTTAGCTGCCTAGTTTTTAGTGTTCAGCCCCAATTAATGTCTATCAGTAAAATTCTCAGTTGGAACAGAAAACTCAGCTGTCTTGCTCGGTTCCATCTCTTAATTTCTGACCTACACTCAGAACATATACACCAATATATATCTAGATGAAAAAATGCACAGGTAAATTTTATCTCAACCTCTTACTAAGAGTTTGACCGTCGAGCAGTTATCCCGGGGAGAACGCAATTCAATTCAGTTTAGGATTTGTGAGTCACTTATGGTGAGCATTTTCGTCAAGAACCTGTTAATATGAATCTTTCCAGCTTTTCATCATCTAAAATCTGATTATCTATCTACACTTTGTGGTCTCGAGATGACGACAAAAAAGTAATTTTGGATCATTCACTGTTAAGTTTGAAAAGCAAAACACAAGCTAGTTACAAATCTTGTTAAGGAGAAACATTCTAGTAATAATAACTTCAATCTCTTCTCTTCAAGGAGCTCCCTTGAGATTTTTCCCTTATTTTCGTAGAACTTCATCACAAATTCACAACTGAACAAAAATGCTTAACAACCGTAAATGACAAATAGACCTACGTTTGTGTTTTAAAGAGCACCGTTAAACTGTTTAAAAAGATAGGTAGAAAGTGTTGTAATGGATTTCGTGTTTCGCAATGGTTACATTCCGAAAGTGTTTCCTTTGAAGTAAAAACGATTTCATTACTGTCAGGGCATAAGAAGAAAACCTTATCAAAGATCAGTGCTTTAGTCCAGATGCTCATCCAAAAGTATATTACACTCTGTGTACAAATAGTGCAACTGTATTTGAAACCATCTACGACTTAACTTATAACAATAAATAAATTCGAAATGAATGAAATTCCCTCTGGTGGTTAGTTCAAAATTTCAATCTTAGCTAAAAAATGAACAGTCATCTTGATTTCTCAATGTTGTGACGTTCCTTTGAGCAGAAATAAGGGCCAATTTTCTTCAGAAGAGTATTGAAATCCATAAAAATAAAAAAGGGGTAGTCCAATTTTCAACCGATTAATATTCACATACAACTTATCCTGTTTCAGTTTCTGTATAGTTAAAATACAGGCATTAGGGTGAAATACTGGTGTCAAAATCGCCAATTCATCTCTTATTGTACCCGAATATCACCTTGTTAAGTCTTTCAATGTCAAGCAACACAGTTGTGGTGCGTTATTCCTCTAAGAAATTAATATTCTAACCAATTGGTAGGTTAAATACACTGGTTACATATAAAATCATTTTAGCGAAAAGCAATCACTCATTAGACTTGGTTAATCACCTGAGAGTACAACCGTACTTCTAAGTAAATAATTACAGGATTCTAGATAGTTAGCCCAAAAGGTGCACCATCCCCCTTTAGAATAGTAGTGTTCCTAATAAAAAGAAGCACTTTCATTTCATCTTGATATTAATGAAAAAACTCTAGCAGTATATCAGTCATAGCATACACTACATTTCACTTCCTCCTGTGTTACCACATAATATATGTCAGAAGTATGCCTACCAATCACACAGCGTAACTACGTTTGCAAACATTTTAATTGCACAAAAAACCAATCTCATTCATCATGAAGTCCTTCCGTTCGCATTAAGATGAGTGAACTACTAACAATGAAAACAACAGTTCAGTCCGCAAATGATATAAAACAATTGACTTATATTATCATTATTTTTCAATGACAAAATACAAGACTTTCTTATTAGTGTTATGGAATTAACAAAGAGAGGTTCTGGGGAAATGATAACACAATGTTGTAAGGGATCTTCATCGAAAGTTGATTCCGTTCAATTAAAAATTGGATAGTAAGAGCTACAAGAAGACAGCCTCTTACTATATTACACCTTCTAGATATTATACACACAAATTGAACTCACTAACATTTACACTATCAAGGCAACTCACAGTGACTGACGTTCATATGTTTAGACGTCATCTGAATAAAGTAATGTTTTAAACAAGTTTAGTCTGCAGAAAAGTTCCTTAATTTAAAAACTGACGGTATGAAGGACAAATCCACAAACAGGCTCAATGCTTGTTCTAAAACTCTCTCCTGACACAAGCTGATATGCACATATAAAAGCAAAACTTGAAAACCAATAATAATTTTATTAAAATGTTTGGTTTTTGCCTATATTTACATCATACCAGATGCAAATATCATTATAAACGAAAATATTTTCATCGATTTATGTGTACTGTCAACGCCATAACTACTAAAAAAGTCAAATACTAGTAATGCGGGTATCAAAGTGGCAAACCTAGGTGGCCTTCATAGTTATACATAAGTAATTTCAGGGTGATAAAATAAATACAACAAGCTGTGCAATCAATATAAACAAAAGCTACTAAATTTACCAACTGTAAAATAAATTGATCTTTCGCTCTTAGGCATTAGGTAAACGCTTTGTTAGATAATCGAATTTAACAACAAACTTTATATCGTTTAAGGCAGAAATTATACTAATCGGAGTGCATTACGAATACACATAGATATGTGGCTCGGTTGTTGAAGCAATCATCTTACAAACAATAGGTGCTACATTCAAATCCCAGCTCATCTATATTAACCTTAAAATCCTGCAAGTATCACAATCCTTTCTATAGTAAGCGTGGTATATAACTTTGTAAATAAATATTTAAGTTCCAATAGTAAGAATGTGATTTTGGTGTATGTTAATGGTAATGCACTACAAAAATGAGTGCCTCGGTCTTAAGTCTTATAGAAAAGAAGAAATGGGGGACATGAAATACCATATTGTAGACAACAGTGTGCGTAAATCAAGAATTAGATAAATCATCATCACAGTGACTAGGGAATAATATTTTAGACTCCAAACAATTAAGAAAACCTGCTCACAAACAGACCAAAAATTCCAAAAATGGAAATTCTTTTAAATCAGCTAAAACTGATACTTAATGAAACAATGAAAACAGAAAAATCAGATCACATTCTGTGATAAAAAGATATGAGAACCTTGACATAGATTTTGTACCACACAGGTTTCGTCAGATGGATATGCCTGGGAACGAGTTATAGTTTTCCCATATGTACTGGAATCTAGCAAAAATATATATTTCAAAATACTGATTACTCTGGTTTTGTAATTCATAAATAGGAAAGGTTTAGAATTCCCCTGACCCAAAGTACGTTATGCGCTGGAAAGTTCTATAATTGAAACATTCATTAAAATAACATCTCATTCTACAATTCTGTTTGTGCCTGAAACAATTAGGCACAAACTACAGTTATAATTCATAATGAGATTGGCAAACTAAAGTTTCAGTTGATAATTTTTACCCAAACCTATACTCTGAACACAGTCTATTCACTGGAATAGAGATAAAAGTTTATCTACTTTATTGTAATTATTCGAGTATGCAACTTGTTCTCTACAGCTATTCAGATGATGATTCAAGCTACACTTCACTGGAGAGCACATGCTGTACGAAATACATCAGGGAACAACTTAAATTCATGAATCATAATTTCAAATCGTAATTATGAAATAAGTGTACAATTATCCCGTAAATTACAGGACATGACATTAAGAAAGTAAAGTTGCAATCTCTAACATCATCTAAACAGTGTGCAATGATATGTCATCTGCGTGAAAGATAGGAACAAAACAATCCATAAAATGTACTCTTAAGGCAAATATAATACTAGTAATTTATTAATTAAGTAATTATTAAGTAATTAATGTCAAATTCATACGCGAAAGTAAAGAAATCGACCAAATTAGTGCTAAAAATTGGTCTGCAGTCTAAATGGAGAATATCTTGTCATGTATATTGTAATACTAACCGTGTTAACGGTAAGTGAAAGCAACCTGTCCCTGCTTACAAGTCGTCACCAAAACATTTTTGAACAAACAGTTGGAAACACTCCTAGAATCCTTCCAGCCACTCAAAACCAGCTGCTGTTTCCATCTCACGAAAAGTTCGGATACTACTTCTCGGTACGTTAATTCTGTTGTGTTATATTAGATGGAATTGATCGACCTCTGTTGGTATATAAAGTTTGTTGTGCAGGTCGAGAGCTATCTGAATCACCTAAAAATATGATATACACCCGTTAAAGAATGCAAAGTGGAAAGTAAATCTGTTTTCCTCACAGATTTACCAATTACTGTTCGATATGTTCTAGCACATGTTGTTTGCTGCTAACTTCATCTTTTATATTCAGTGGAATTTTATCTGACACTGTTTAACCAACTTGTAGACACTGAGGTGAAATTATTGTCAGTTATTCATCGAGGTGTGAGTAGTTCTCTTCCTCTGACCTCAATGTATAACTCCACTTTCAATCGCGACAATATCCATCGAACACACTTAGTCCTCCCACTGCAGTGTTAGTCTAGGCCAATTTATGGGAAATCGTCGCACTAGATCGCGAAAAAGATGCAAATAAATTTCACGTTCTTCAGTCTTATATCAAACCGATTTATTGGATTTCGGCAAAAACAGTAGAGTTATTGCAATTGTGTATTGTCATAGAAAGAAGGTCACAACTTCGGTGAACAGTTTAGTAGACAGGTCAAGAACAACCTTATTCAAGTTTTTGCATGCACAGTGATGAATAAAAGAGCAAGGTCTTG